TCCTGCTCCTCGAGCCGCTGCAACTCTCTCTCCTCTCTCTCCAACTCCAGCTGCTCCTCACGAGCACGGCGAACACGAGCCTGGAACCTGGTCGGGTAGGGGTGGGGGGAAGGAGTAGTGTCCGGGGCAGCGGCAGCCCCAGAGTCGACCTCCGAAGCACCAAGCACACCACCCCCAGAGGCAGCACCAACACCAGCTCCAGACCCAGGCTCTCCAGAAACCGAAGGGACACCCTCACCCCCAGACGCAGCACCCCCAGACTCAGCACCAGCACCCCCAGACTCCGCACGACCAGTACCAGCCCCCGGAAGACAAGAGTCCTCTGCAACCCGCGGCTCAGCTCCAACTCCAGCACCCCCAGAACCAGAGACCTGTACAGGGACAGTCGCAGGACCAACCTCTCGAGAGGGAGCACCTGCAGGAGGCGGCGAGGAAGACTGTGGGGAGGGAGGCTGTACAGGGGGGGCTACCGAAGGGGGAGGGCTAGCCTGAGACACACCAGACGGGGCTGGACCAGGGGGGGGAGGCTGTACCGGGGGAGCAGGCGGGGGAGCGGCGGTCAGGAAGAGAGGGGGGGGAGGGACCGGGAGACCTCGACTGGGGTACCTGACGTAGTAGGGGGTGGACTCCTCGAAACGGACGTCACGGGAGTCAAAGAACCGGTGAGAGGGAGGGTGGTAAAAGGTGAAGTCAGAGGAGTCCTCAGGGAAACCAAGGAAGACACAAGGAACGGCGCGAGGCGAGAGCTTGTCCGCGGAGGTGTCGCGGACAAGAGCCAAGCACCCCCAGACACGAAACCTCGACGCGACACCAGGGGACCCTGTCCAAAGACTGGTCGGTGAAGCCTCCGGCCGAGAGACGCGTGGCCAGAGGTTCAGCTGGTGCGCGGCGTACCTGACCGCGTATGGCCACAGGAAATGGGGGGCACGGGCGTGAGTCAAGGAGGTGCGGGCAATCTCCATGACCAGGCCTATGCGACGCTCAGCAACCCCATTCTGCTGTGGGGACTCCGGAAGCGTCCAGGACTGACGAATGCCCTGTTCGCGACAGAATCCAGCGAGAATGCCGGAGCGAAACTCGCCCCCGCGGTCGGAGTGGAGACAGCTGACACGACGACCACGAGTGTCCTGGGTGGTAAGCAACCACCTGATCAGCGTAGAAGTCACCTCAGACTTCCTCGCCAGGGGGAACACTGTGGTGTAGCGGGAGTAGTCGTCAACGACCACCAAAAAGAAACGCTCACGCTCAGGGCCAGGGCGAGGAGAGGGGCCCCAGACGTCCAAGTGCAGCGTCTCAAAAGGCTCGGTGGCCGGACGAAGGGAGGAGGAGTGAGGGGTGGCGCGCAGCCTACCCTCGACGCAAGGACCGCACGGTGGTGCAAGGGACGGCGGCAGCGACGGCAAGACACGCGGGAGACCTAAGACAAGACGCTGACGAGACATAGCGCGAAGACGAGGAGGAGAAGGGTGCCCCAGCCGGTGGTGCCACAAAACGGTGGGGTGGGCAAGCGACCGACAGGAGCACGACGCAGCGACCGGACTAGACGGAGGAACCTGACAAGACACAGCTACCTGGGGGGACGGAGCAACCTGGTGAGACGCGAGGACTCGAACGGGGGGCAAAACAGGGGCCGGGGGCAGGAGGGGCGGCTGTGGCTGCGGCTGCTGCTGCTGCTGTTGCTGCTGCTGCGGCTGCTGCTGCGCCAGCGGGCCAGTGTGAAGAGTGTAGAGACCGGAGCCCGGCTCAGCTGTAAAGGTGGCAAGGGGCCGGTAAGAGCCCTCGTCAACACACACCGCTGTCTCACCCGAAAACCACACACCCACGTGCTGGCTCACAAGGGGTCGTACGCCCACCAAGTTCCTCGAGAACGAGGGGACGTGAAACCCAGTGAGAGACCCAGAAGGAGCAGCCGGACACGGCAAGGTGGTAGTGTGACGCGCGGTGACTGGTCCCGAAGTGGGATCAGCCAGCGCCACAGAAACAGGCGCAGGAAGAGGCGTAAGTGTCGTGCTGTCACGAAAGAAGCAGTGAGAGGCTCCAGAGTCCAGCGTGAACGACAGCGAACCGTCCTCTGAGGTAGCCGCTGGACTAGAGTCTACACAAGAACCTACACTAGCAACAGGCAACTGAGCAAGGCTAGCACCTAAGCTAACAACACCAGAGTAAGCAGAGTCAGAAACACTAGAGTCAACAACAGCATACATAGCATGGGGAGTACCAATCAGATCAACTAACTGCTCAGCAGACATGGCCCACAGAGCGGAGCCGTAGCGCTGAACAAGAGGCAGCCAGTCAGGGGCAGGAGCACCAACCCCGTAGACCAAACGAACCGTGTCAGTGAGCTGAGCAAAGCACTGACCAGGGGGGTGAAACCGGCCACAAGGGTGGCCACGACGAGTGCCTGTCAGAACCTGGTAGGTGCAGGGAGTGTAAGCAGCACCGCGCTGGGTCTGACGCAGCCCCGACCCTGGAGCCAGCTGCTGCCGCTGCTGCTGCTGAGGCTGCTGGGAGGAGAGGGGCTGCTGGTGCTGCAGAAGCTGCTGCTGACGCTGAGCCTGGTACCACGCCGCTGCTCCGCCAACCGGGGCAGGAAGTACAGGAGGCGACTGACGAACTCGGGCGTCGCCACCACCAGCAGGCGCAGTGGAGTCACCAGTCACTGCACGAGGCGCCTCTCCAGGCCCTGAACCTCCACCGCCGCCAGGCGCAACGCCACCTCCACCACCTCCGCCTCCACCTCCACTACCACCACCAGAACCGCCTTTCTTGCCACTCCTACCGCGGGACCGCGACGCAGTCGTAACAGCAGCTGCAGTCGCGTCAGTAGCGGCAGTGGCAAGTGAGGCAGTAAAGGTGGGTAACTGCGGGACTGTGCACCCGTGGAAGAGTGGGGGGGGCACAGCACCAGAGGCAGCGGCTACCGAGCGAAGGTTGCTCTCGACGTCCTTGAGTGCAGACTCAAGGACCTCGACGGTGAGCTCACTAGGGTGCTTCAGCAGAAGCGCGTCGCGAACGGAGGCAAGGCGGTCAGGGAGGCTAGTGGCGATGAAATAGATAGTAATCGCCATAGGGGGAGGAAGCAGTGCAAGCTGTGCCTCAGTGCAAGCAGCGCGGTAACTAGCGTCGAGCGAGCGGAGGTGAGCAATCAAGTCAGCAGAGCGCTCAAAAGACGCCAGGTCAGGAAACAGGAACGGGAGGAACAGGCGGCCAAGAGAGACAGCAGCGGGAGTAGAGTAGCGGGCCTTAATCGCAGTGAGGTACGCAGCAGCGGTGCGAACCTGAGTGAAGTGAACCTCCTCAGACTCAGGGAGGAGGCTGCTGAGCGCGATGCAGGCCGCAGCGTCACGTGACGTCCAAGCCGTCTGGTCAGCTCGCTGAGTGGCAAAGCGGGCTCTAGCGGCGTCGTCAGGGGCAGGTCCTAAAGGCGTAGGGTCAGGGGGCGCAGGTAGGGCACCAGTAGCGTGCGCCCAGAGGGACTCGCCTGCCTGGACCTGACTCTCTAACAGACGGCGAGCACGAAGAAGCCAGACGGAAAAATCAAGAGGTCTACCGTCAGCGTCGAAACGAAGGACACGCTGAGTCGCCATAGCGAAAACGAACGCGAACGGAGAGGGAGGGGACAGCAGTAGATGAGAGGCAAATTAGGGTTCGGCGGTACTCTGGGACAGGGGAGGAGCGGACGCCACAGCGGGCGTGACAGCGGGAGGTAACAGGGGACTAAGCAGCGGAGAACGAGAGCGGGCGCAGCGGCGGGCGATGGCAGCGCGTACGGCAGCAGGGGCCAGCAGCGCGCGCAGCGGGCGACGGCAGGGGGCGCAGCGGCGGGCGACGACGGCGGGGCCGCAGCGAGGCGCGCAGGGGGCGAGCGACGGCTGCAGGCGCGGCGGCGACGAGCGCGGTCGCGAGCGACAGTGGCGGGCGCTGCGGGACGGGCGACTCGACGGGGGGAGAGGGCAGGAGCAACGGGACAGGGGGGAGGGCGACGTGACGGGGGGAAAGGGGCGGGTGCGACGGGACAGGGGGAAGGCGACGTGACGGGGGGAAAGGGGCGGGTGCGACGGGACAGGGGGAGGGCGACGTGACGGGGGGAAAGGGGCGGGTGCGACGGGACAGGGGGAAGGCGACGTGACGGGGGGAAAGGGGGCGGGTGCGACGGGACAGGGGGAAGGCGACATGACGGGGGGAAAAGGGGGGGGGGGGGGCGACGGGACAGGGGGAAGGCGACACGACGGGGGGAAGGCGCGGACGCGACGCGACGGAAGGAGCGCGACACGACAGGGGGAAAGGGACGGGCGCGACTCGAGGGGGGGGGGGAAGGCGACGCGAAGGGGGGGGGGGGGGGGGGGGCGGGCTACGCTACGAACGAGAGCGTGGCTCGGCGCTAGGCTCGGTAACAACGAGAAGGAGACGAACGAGAGCTAGGATCAGGCTCGGGTGGTACGAACGGAGAACGGCGGAACGGGATCCCACAGGATCCTAACCTAACTGATACCATGTCAGAATGAAGAATGGATGATGCATTGATGTTGGTTGGGGTACATATAGCTAACCCTAAGTTTTGTACCCCCTAAGACAAACCTCACTATAGGCTACAACATTTGACAACCATAACCTCCTATTATATTAGAAACGTTGTGAAGTGCTGAGCGGTAGTACCAGTAGACGGGAGAATAGAGATGGGCTTCACTTGCATCTAGGGTACGGTAGCAAACAGTTACATACAAACAGGCTTTACTCAAATCCAGTCAAGGGTACAGTTTCAACACACAACACAACACACAACAGAGACAGCACTACAAGCATTTCTCAAGCAAGGCATCCCTTGGGCAAGGCATCCTCTGGGCAGGAGCAAAGGTTGGCAAGAAGAACTAACATTCTACACTGGGTCTACACCGGGACATTCTGAAAGGATCTCGAGCGAGTGGAAGGGAGAAGGGTCATCATTGAGTGGAAAGAAAAAGCCATCCGTCTGAGAGTTCTCAGAAGCCATCCACATCAACCTACTGAGTGCACGAAATAGAGCGGAAGCGAATATCCGACTCGATGTTCCTGCGTAATGGTAACAAGGGGGACAAAGAGGATGGTAAGACAGTTCAGAACGGCATTATTAAAAGCGGAAGCGGGAAATCGCTGTGCAGGTACCGTATGTGGGTGGCAAGCGATCGATCACTCACAGTTCGTAATATCCGTCAAATGGTGTAGTGGTTGACGCGGTGGGTCCAGAAAAGGATGCGCCTGCACAGCTGTTGTCCACGTAGAACGTGAGATTGGGGCAGTTCGGAGCATCGCCAATGTTCTCAACAGCGTATACTGCCTTGTAGGTGTCAGCCACTTCAGCTGGGAAAGGAGTGCAAGCATTCAGGTTGAGGCGATAGGTGTATGGCCGGGATGTGTTGTCCTTGGCGGTTCGATTTGCGATGAGTGTGTGGCTGATAGACGAGACGGTAGACGCTCCACCTGAGACAGAGTGGCATAAGGAAGGACTCAGTGCTGTGTCAGTGTGCGCCTTTGATGCATTCCCACATTCGTACATACATCCATGCATTCCCACAATTGTACATGCTTTCATGCATTACCACATTCATACATACCTTCATGGACGAGCATCAGCAGTTTAACAACCGTGGCAGAGCGAGAAAGGTTAAGCAAAGAGGGGCGTGAGTAGAGTAGACAGAGTAAAAAGTTGGGCAAGTGGGAGAAGAGGAGAGTGGGGAGAGGAGAGTGGGGTGAGTGGGAAGAGGAGAGTCGAGAGACTAGAGCAAGTGTCGAACAAGCTTACCCTCAACACATTCGGTCGCGGTTATCCCAAAGCCTTCAGGGCACGAGCAGTAAGGCAGCTGCACCGCATTGTTGTCCTGCGCAGGCACCGTCTTGCAGGTGGCTCCAGTGGGGCAGGCGCCACAGGGCGAGTCTGAGGGGCGGGCATGGGTGCAGTGCGGTGTGTGAGAGCAATGTTAGTGGGGGATTGAAGCTGGGAAACACAGCATGCTAGAAAACAACTCGACCAGCAGAGCAGGAAAGAATTCACTCCACTGGCAGCAACGCCATGCTCACTCACCCCACTTGCAGTAGGGCTCTCCGTTTTCATCCACCTCACATTTGCCGCCAGGCTCACATCCCAACGCCGCACAGGCAGGATCTGCAGCAGAGGCGCAACATGAAGGGGCGACAAGCGAAGGTATGGGAATGATTATAGGCGGCATAAGGCCATCGGAATGACTTTTGAGACGTCTCAAACAATGATTATAGGCGGCATAAGGCCATTGGAATGACTTAGGCTGCGTTTGCATTGCAAAGTCAGGAAGGAGTTGCTGTGGATCGGAAGGCGCTATCATTGACAAGATTTTATTTGCATACTCAGCAAGATTTTATTCGGCATTGAGTAAGGCACCAAATCACACCCTTCCGAACACACCAAGTCCCGTCTAGGGGGTTCCCTTTCTAAGAGGGAAGCAATGAACGTACCAGCATTCGGTTGTGGCTGCTGCAGCGAATCTTCCTTCGGGATCGGCTGCTGCAGCGAATCTTCCTTCAGGATCGGCTGCTGCAGCGAATCTTCCTTCAGGATCGGCTGCTGCAGCGAATCTTCCTTCTGCTGCTTCTCGGGAACAGCACAGAGAACAGATACCACGGAAGCCCCCTTTCGAAGCTGCTTTTTCGTGTTTGGAAACCTGAAGGGCGTGGCAAGTGCAAGCACAAGAGATGACAGCGTGGTTATTATCCCCTCCCCTCCCCTTCCCTCCCTGCCCCTCCCTCCCATCCCCAAGCCATGCGCCGCTCGTGCCTCCTCCCCATACCTCCTCACCATGCCTCCTCACCATGCCTCCTCACCATGCCTCCTCACCATGCCTCACACACGGCCACACCAACCAAACTCACACCCACACATATTCCAACACTAGGGTTCGGGCGGCAAGGCGACCCCTTAGGGCCGTTCCACCACACCTGCACGTTCCTCTGCTTCGCGTCCTTCTTGGGGACGCTCACGCAGCGCTGCTTGCTGAATCTCAGCTGCGCAGGTCCCAACACCACCGTTGTGGTGACGGGCAGATCCGACACCCCACTGATGCTGCCAGCTCCATTCGCGCCTTTCAGCATCATGCTGCGGTGTGTCATGCGGTGTGTCATGCGGTGTGTCATGCGGTGTGTCATGCGGTGTGTCATGCGGTGTGTCATGCGTTTCACCGTGTCGTCGCCATGCGCTGCCTTCATCATCTGTTCTGCTGTGGAGGATAAAGGAGAGGATGCGCAGAGAAGAGAAGAGAAGAGAAGAGAAGAGAAGAGAAGAGAGGCCGATATGAGAGAGGAGAGCGGGCGGCGAGGAGAGGAGAGAGCTGAAAGTAAAAACGAGGCGGAAAAGAGAAGCGAGCAGGAAGGAGGGAATAGAGAGAAGACAACGAGAGAGCAGCAGATCACAAGAGAAGCAGACTGACCGGTGATGAGGGCAAAGGCGAGCAGCAGGAGGCCGGCAGGATAGGCGCGCATCGACCCCATGATGACGACGGCGGGGGTCCCGCGGGAGTGGAGGCGGAAGCGGCGCGGGAGAGACGCAACAGGCGAACTTGTGCGGTGACGTGCGGTTCACGCCGGTGTAGGGTGCGGAGTGTAGGTAAGGTGGGTAGAACGAGGGGTACAACTAGTCCAACGCGAGGAGCTCAAAGGACAGAACCGGAAGGCAAATGGTAGTAGAACCACGGCGATGGAAGAATGAAAGGCTTGCATGGGATGTGTAATTTATGTTGCGAGTTACAATCATGAGCCAAGCGCGATAGCCGCCGCGCCATGGCGAATCCTAGGAGCTCAGTCGGTGCTTAGCTCGAGTCAATCGCTTGACCGATAATAATGCAAACGTTAGGAACGCAGTCTCTGCTATGCTCGCGTGAGTGATGGGGACGAATAGCTGATCTGCATCTAGAAACGCGATCCAAGCGACGGGTCGCTGGAAACGGACGAAATGGACTTGCGTTCGCCAACCAATGGCGCAACGCAGAGGCATCCAGCAAGGCCTTGGGAATAACACAGGCGAGAAGATGAGGGAACCGGCAGCTGCATTATGGTGGCGACGAGCAGTATGCGATTCGTCGCACGGGATAGGTTTGAAGAAACGAGTATGTTCGTCCGTTTGACTGCTTTGTTGAAACTTGGGAGTGACGCGTTCGGAGTTCAAACTTCACAACCAAACATCGATGAAGGCCGTATTCTCATAACACAGCCGTGTGACAGGTTGAAGACAAGATTGGTTTCAAGGAATCACGGTCAAGCTTGATCGCCAAGGATGTTACCCGATTCCGCTGGGAGATCCATGTGACGCGCCGAAGACTGGATCACAAACCTTTCGCCATACGTCTGGCGGAAGGTCTGGTGTATGGCGGTCTTTGACTCGGCGAGTGAATCGCAGGGACGATGTAATTCGCGAGGTGGGCTGGATGCACCATCTGTTCGTCGCTTGCTTCCGTATCTGGCTTCAAACCAATCAGGTTCAGTAGCACTGTGGCTGCGATTTTCGTGAATCTCGCACGACACTGCCTGGCGCGTTACAAAATGACCTCACCAATTTGCGAGAACATACGCAACCTTTTCGCGCCACAGTTTGGTCTGGAACGAAATTGTGATCAAGTGACTGCATTGCATTGCAGCACATACGTGGCCAATCGCATTCGCACCACATCATTCTACCCTATCCGCTCAATCACCAAAACTTTTCTGGTCGGTCCCAGAAGCCTTCCTGGTAACACGCTTCGCGTCATCGCACGACGCTGTTCGCAAATCCCAAACCCAGCGAATATCGTCGCCAGTTTCGGCAACCAACCACAGTCGTCTCTCACAAGCAAGTCACCAAGAAATCCCCAGCCGCCAAGCAACGGACATATCCAAGACAACCGAAAGTATCTACTTCCCTTCAAATCCCCTATCCTTGTCCATTTCCATTCCCATTTCCACTCACAATTTCTCGCATTCTCCGTTCATTTGGGCGACACATTTGGTCGACCCTCGTTTTTTTATTGAGGCGCGACCGGCTTTCCTGCTGATCGGTAGATTATAAAGCTGTTGTTGACGAATACGTTGTTACTGACGGTTGAGTTTCCAAGGTGTCACTTGCAGTATCTCTTATTTGTCCGTCGAATCAAGGGTCAGCGAGGCACCTTCTTGCGGGATTCACTGCTCATAAATGTTTTGGACGTTCAGGGCTTTACCAGGCTATTCACTGTAATTCTGATATCTGTATTCGCAATCGTCAAGCCTTTCCTGCTGTGGTGTTTTTTCCAGATAAACTGTCATTAAGACTTTTTTTCTAGGACCGTTTGAAAGCCGCTGCTTTTTGCGTAGTCCCGTCCCGTAGCCAGCTCAGGAAGTATCTTACCAGGCGCCATCAAAAGGCGATGGACGGCGGTCACGGCGAGGGGAGCGCGGGCGGTGAGGGATCTGGGCGCGGAGCACGAGGAAGGGGTGGTCGGGGGGGATTCCGCGGATCGGGGGGAAGGAGCAGGGGGTTTGGCGGAAGGCGAGGGGGATTCGGACATGGACATGGGGGAGTAGAGGCGGGGGCAAGCAGGGGAGATGGCGGGGGAGGAGACCGGGGGAGGGTACGAGGGAGGGGGAGAGGCGGTCAGGAAAGGAATAACGGGCAGCTAGGAACCGAAATTCTATCTGCTAACAACGACACGCAGCTGCCTGCATCGATGGCTACTAATACGAGCGCGGGGGTTCCTGAATCCGCCGTTATAGTCAACCCCGACATTGTGACGACATGTGTGGCAGCGTCTTCTATTATCGCAACGGCGAAGCGAGTTGTAGTGGTCACTTCGGGAGGCGCAGAATCGCAATCTGTGGAGGAGGATCAGGCGGCGCGGAAGAGGAAGAAGAAAGAGCGACAGAAAGAGAAGAAGGAGATGATGAGGAAGATGGAGACGCAGGCAGAGGAAGCAGCTGGAGTGAGGAAAGATGCAATTGAGCAGCAGGCGCGAGCCTCAAATGCTGAAACGCCAGCTGTACCGGCTGAATCTACGGACGCTGCAGAGGAGGATAAGCCTTTGGTTCCTGAGGCGCCGCAACAGGCCGATACGACGGACGCTGCAGAGGAGGACGAGGCGGCGACTTCTAAGGCGACTCAAACGGCTGGATCCGTAAAAGCCACAGAGGAGGATAAGGCGGCGCGGAAGAGGAAGAAGAAAGAGAGGCAGAAGGAGAGGAAGGAGATGATGAAGATGATGCTGCAGGAGAAGCAGGCAGAGGAAGCAGCCGGAGTGGGGAAAGAAGCAATTGAGCAGCAGGGGCGAGCCGCAGAAGCTGAAAAGCCAGCTGCATGGGCTGAATCGACGGACGCTGCAGAGGAGGACACTAAGGCGGCGACTCAAAAGGCTGAATTCGTAGAAGCCGCAGACGAGGATAAGGCGGCGAAGAAGAGGAAGAAAAGAGAGAGGCAGAAGGAGAAGAAGGAGATGATGAAGAAGATGCTGCAGGAAAAGCAGGCGGAGGAAGCAGCAGCAGTATCGAAAGACGGAATTGAAACCAAGGCGCCTCAAAAGGCTGAAACTTCGGAAGCTGCAGAGGAGGAGAAGGCGGAGACTATCAAGGCTCCTCGAAAGGCTGAATCTTCGGAAGCTGCAGAGGAGGAGAAGGCGGAGACTATCAAGGCGCCTCGAAAGGCTGAATCTTCGGAAGCTGCAGAGGAGAAGGCGGCACGGAAGAAAGAGAAGAAGAGAGAGAAGAAGGCGAAGAAGATGCTGGAGAAGCAGGCAAAGGAAGCAGCAGGAGCGGGAAAGGAAGCGTCTGATGAAGCTGCACCGTCCAAACCAGAGTCGAATCCGGCCATACCACAGCCGATCCCGTCACCACAGCCGATCCCGTCACCACAGCCGATCCCGTCAAATCCTGAGCTGATTCCGTCAAATCCTGAGCTGATTCCGTCAAATCCTGAGCTGATTCCGTCAAATCCTGAGCTGATTCCGTCAAATCCTGAGCTGATTCCGTCAAAGCAAAATCCTGGAGCTGAAATTTTGTCAAAGCAGCCTCCTGAACCTGAAAGTTCGACGGATGCGGTGGGATATGCAGGGGAGGGACAAAGTGAGGTGGAGAGTAGGGAAAGGGAAAAGAAGGAGAAGAAGAAGCAGAAGAAGGAAAGGTTGAAGGGGAAGCAGCAGAAGCAGCAGCAGAAGCAGCAGCAGAGAGGTGGCAGTGCTGGTCCTCCGATCAAGCAGGGCAGGGATGGGACTGGTTTAGGGTTTAAGTTTCCCCCGCCAAGTGGTTGGGGGGATACAGGACCCACGAGTGCAGAGGGAGGCTCTGTGGCTCTTGATTCGGTTCCTAAGTCATCTGTCTCGGTGGAGTGGGGTGATTCAACCCAAAAGTCATCCGTTTCGGTGGACTGGGGTTCAGTGGCGCCCAGTAGTTGGGATGCGAGGACCTGCGGGCAAGATCGGGTCGATGCTTTTACAGGGGCTGGCAATAGCGAGGACAAGGGGAAGGAGAAGGGTTTTCGGGGGGTTTTCGCCCCTCACTTGCCCCTTGAAGTTGCCAAGCAGAGGATTCAGGTATGCCTTTCATGCGTGAACCTATATTGAATTGTGGGACTGATCATCCAAACTGCATTCCTTTTAACTGCATTCCTTTTAAGTGTTCATGTGCCCGCATCTGTCGATGCTCGTTGCATTTTCCTGCTTGCCAACACTGCCTTTTTTTTTTTTTCGGCTGCGTTCTTGTCATGTTGATTCCCGTTCCCTTGTGTTTTTTTTTTTCCACTTCTTCAGGATGGCACCCTTTTTGCCGCATCATTCAGGGTCAACGCGCGGAACCGATTTGAGGTCAGTCTACCTTGTCTGGGCAAGCATTTGGGAAGCAACATTTACGGTTAAAAGTCAGCCCAAAGTCATCGCTTGCAGTGCACGCTGTGTGCTGCTCTGGGTGTTGTAATGTTTAACATATCTTCAGTTGACTCGGGAATCTGTTGCTGTTGCTTTGGTGCCTTTTGGGATGCATGTTTGCTTGTGCCCTGATTGGGTACTTTGGTGTTCCTTCAGGCATATGTGACTCTAAAGGGAATTCTGGACACTAATCGTGCGTTGCTGTTTCTTGCTTTCCCTTCAGGCGTATGTGACTATCGAGGGAGCTCCTCGGGATGTCCTGATTTACGGTCTCAAGGCACAGAACCGAGCGGTAAGAGTCCACGTTACCTGAAAATATTTGAATCTCGTTCATCAAGTTTCAACGCCCTCGTTCCTTTACTCCATCTCGTAGATAACTCATTTGTCTGTGCGTCCGTGCATACAGGTCGAAGGAGACACAGTAGCAGTGGAAGTAGACTCTCCGTCTCTGGAACCCAGTGATCCACGGATAGTCACCACACACGAAGAAGGTAGCGATCCAAACGCTCACAGTGCAGCAGGCTGGGGTATAGCGAGTGGAGCTGAGTCAGTTGGAGGAGGAAGAGGAGGGAGAGGAGGGAGAGGAGGGCAACGAGGGCAGGGAGAGGAGGGAAGTAGGCAAAGAGGGAAGGCGGAGGCGGTAGAGAGACTGGCGCGGGCAGTGAGGGCCAATCCGGATCTGCGGCTGACGGGGCGTGTGGTGGCGATTGTTCATTGGTCGGCTCGGAGAGAGGCGGTGGTGGGACGGCTGGAGCTGCTTCCTGCTGCAGGTGCGCAGATAGAGAAGGAGAGGCAGAGGCGACGGGCTGTGGAGAGGAAGAAGCGAGTGGGGGGGAAGAAGCAGCAGAAGAAGGAGAAGCAGGAGCACCAGCAGAAGAAGCTGGGACAGAAAATGCAACAGCAGGAGGAGCAGGAGGAGCAGCAGGAGCAACAGGGGCAACAGGTGGCGAAGGAGGGAGATGTGAAGGTGTATGAGAGTGGGGAGAATAGCGGTGGGGATGAGATTGAAGATGGGGAGGTGGTTGGGGAAGAGGAAGAGGGGGAGGTGATTGGGAAGGAGGAGGAAGTGAAGGAGGGGGAAGTAGTTTTGGAAGAAGGCGAGGTGGTTGGGGAGGAGGGGGAAGTGGTTCTAGAGGAGGGGGAGGTGGTTTTAGAGGAGGGGGAGGTGGTTTTAGAGGAGGGGGAGGTGGTTGGGGAGGAGGACGCGGTATTCCTGTCGACGGAAGCTGGTGAGAGTGAACCGTCTGGCTCTGCTGCTGAACTGAAGGAGCCTGCTGATGCTGCTGATACTGCCCCTGCTGCTGATGCTTCTCCTTCTGATGCTCCTGCCCCTGCGGGTGCTGATGCTGCCGCTGCTGCTGCTGCTGTCGCTGGTAGCAGCAGTGACAGTAACGGAGTCATAACAGCTTGCGCAGGGACCGAAGCGCAATCGGCGACGCCGATGCCTAATTTTGCTGACTTCGGTATAGTCACATTCACTCCAGTGGACCCTCGGTTCCCGCGCATGCTAATCCGAATCAGCACCCTACCCAAGGAGATTAAAGACCTCGTCTTAGCAGCTGCAGCGGTCCCTGACACGTGTCAGAAGGCTGCTTCGAGGAGGACCAATAAGAGCGGCCCTAGCCTTGCACCAATAGTAGAGGTTGCTGCTGTTGTTGCTGATATTGGGGATGGGAGTGGCGCTGTAGCAAGCGTGACTGTAGCGGAGACAGCTGTAGCATCGTCAGTAGCAGCAGCAGAAGAGGCAGCGGCGGCTGCAGCACCAGCTGCAGCAGCAGCAGAGGTGAGGCAGATGCTTGTAGCAGCCAGGCTGTCCCGCTGGTCTTCCGGCCAGTTCCTGCCCTTCGGTATAGTCACACAAAGCCTGGGGCCAGCAGGGGACGCTGAGACTGAAACGAGGGCGATTCTGGCCCAGCTTGGAATACATGGGTCGGATTTTTCACCAGAGGTACTGGCCGAGTTGCCTTGTGGGGCTGGTGAGACGAGGGGTGATAGTGATGGCAGGGGTGGTGATAGTAGCGAGGGTGATACTAACGAGGGTGTAAGCAGTAGTGGCGTGGGCGAGGGCAGCAGCAGTAGCAGCAGCAGCAGCAGCGGGTGGCAGATTCCAGCAGGGGAGATTGCAGCTCGCAGAGACTTTCGGGGCCAGCGGGTGTTCACTATAGACCCGCCCACCGCACGAGATTTGGACGATGCTCTGTCTATAACGAGGATAAGGGCTGGGGGGGCTAAGGGGAAGAAAAAGGGGAAGGGGAAGGGGAAGGGGACGGGTGAGGAGGGTCGGGAGCAGGGAGAGGGGGAGAAGAAGGGGAAGGGGGTGGAGAGTTTGAAAGAGGGCGAGGAGGAGGCAAAGCAGGAGAGAGAGGTGGAGGGCGAAGAAGAGGAGGAGGAGGAGTTGTATCAAGTGGGGGTTCACATTGCTGACGTGTCATACTTCATACCGCCCGGATCCGCACTAGATGCCGAAGCCGCCCGGCGGTGCACGACAGTGTATCTAATCCAGCAGGCCATGCCGATGCTTCCCCGCCCGCTCTGCGAGGACCTCTGCTCGCTACAGCCGGGGGTTGACAGGCTAGCGTTTTCGGTGGTGTGGGATGTGACTGTAACGGGGGAGGTGAGGCGGCAGTGGGCGGGAAGGTCTGTGATTCGTCCGTGCGTCCAGCTGGCGTATGGGCACGCGCAGGAGATGATTGATGGGAGGTTCGGGGGAGGGGAGGAGGTGACAGGGTGGGGACGGGAAGAGGGGGAGGGGAAGGCGGGCAGAGAGAAGAAAGTAGGGAAGGAGGAGAGGGAGGAGAGGGATGATGAAAGTGGGATTGGGAGTGTGAGTGAAGGGTTGAGTGATGGGGATGGGATCAGCGGAAGGGGGCGAGGGGGAGGGGGGAGCGGAGCGGGAGGAGGGGGCGGAGGGGTGGGAAAACTGGACGGCAGAGTGAACGAGGAATGGCGGCCGGTCCTGTACGGAGGGTACAGGTGGCACGACGTGATTGGAGACGTGCTGACGCTGCACCGCATAGCGCAGAGCCTGAGGAAGGCGAGGGAGGAGAGGGGGGCACTGATGCAGCTTCAGACGTCAAAACTGAGATTTTCTTTCGATGCTGAAGAGGAGGAGGTTGAGGAAGATTCATTGATGGTGGGCAGTGGGAATTTGGGTGTGGGTAACAACGTCAGCAACACCAACACCAACAGCAGCAGCAGCAGCAGCAGCAATGGTAACAGGTGGAGACCCGTGGCAGCAGCGGTGGCGCCGGCGACTGCAGCAGCGAACCATCTGGTGGAGGAGCTGATGCTGCTGGCCAACACCACCGTCGCCAACATCATTTCTAGGGCGTTCCCTTCCGATGCCCTCCTCAGGTATCGTCCCCCGCCTTCCCCTCGACGTCCCCAGGCAGTGCTCCCTGTATTCCCCCCTTAAACCTGAACCCTAAGCCGCCGGCAACAGCAGCAGCGAACCATCTGGTGGAGGAGCTGATGCTATTGGCTAATACCACCATCGCCAACATCATATCTCGAGCATTCCCCTCGGATGCCCTGCTCAGGTAATGTTCCGCACCTTCCCCTCGACTTTAACACCACCGTCGCCAACATCATATCTCGAGCCTCCCCCTCCGGTGCACTGCTCAGGTAATGTGCAATAGGCCTTCCCCTCCTTCTCCTTTTGTGAATTCTCAAACGTGATCCCCTCCTTCCCCTGAGGCATTCAAACCTATTACCACCAGAGACAGCAGCAGCGAACCATCTGGTGGAGGAGCTGATGCTGCTGGCCAATACCACCGTCGCAATTATTATATTGCGTGCAGCATCAGCTCCTGCACTACCGTGCTTTCCTCCCCTCGCATGCCCTCCTCCCCTCGCACGCCCTCCTCCCCTCGCATGCCCTCCTCAAGTATCGTTCGCATTCTTCTTACAACTGAAACCCTTTCAAAGGAGCCTCACACCGGCCAAACTGAATCCCTGAACGGCCAGACAGAACACAGCAGCAGCGAACCACCTTTCTTTTTCCTGCCTTTCCCCTCCCCGGTGCCCCATACAGGCGCTACCCCCCTCCCAACGCCGAGAAGATGGGCGATTTCCTGCGCTTCGCCTGCAACCTGGTCACCCTTTCAGCCGGCTTCATGTGCCTTGCATTGTTTTTTATCCTCTCTCCTGCATGCCATCCCCCCCTCCCCATTGCCCCATACAGGCTCCACCCCCCTCCCAACGCCAAGAAGATGGGCGATTTCCTGCGCTTCGCCTGCAACCAGGGCGTGCTCTCAACAGCCTTCTGCAAGAAGCTGGTGCGGGAGTGCCCGGAACTGAAGCAGCTTATAGCGGGTACAGGCGGGGGAAAAGGGCCAGGAGACTCGGAGGAGACAGAAGAAGGGGAGACGGAGGGAGCCGGGGGTAGCATGGATTGTGTAATACCGTCCAAAGTGCTAAGTGAAATACTTAACGAGGTGGGAAGGGCAGTGGTGGACCCAGGGGAGAAAGCGCTGCTGCTGCTCATGGCTACTAAACCCATGCAGCTGGCTCAGTACTTCTGCCGAGGACAGTGGGGTGAGCATGATGGGGGTGATAGCAATGGGGATGGTCATGAGGAGTGTGATAATGGTGATGGGTTTTTTGGGGAGGTGGATCTGGGGGAGGTAGGTCTGGTGGCCGCAGTGGCGGTGTAGGTGCACCTCGGGGAGGTAGATCTGGGGGAGGTAGATCCGGGGAAGGCAGATCCGGGGGAAGCAGATTTGGGGGAGGCAGGGGAGGCAGATTTGGGGGAGATAGATCTGCGGGGGGAGGTGCATTTGCTGCCAGTGCAGGTACATCTGGCGATACCGGTGAAGGTGAGTGGACGTCTCATTACGGTCTCGCTCTCGACCTATACACGCATTTCACCTCCCCGATCCGCCGCTACGCTGACGTCATCGTGCACCGCCAGCTGGCGGCCGCGCTGGCAGCAGAGGAGAGGCTTATAGCGAGGATGGGGCTTAGCAGCAGTTTGAAGTGGGAGAAGTGGGCGTTGGGTGCAGGAGAAGGGGGAGGGCGTGCAGGAGAGGCAGGAGCAGCAGTAGCAGCAGGAGGAAAAGCAGGAGGGGCAGGAGGAAAAGCAGGAGGAGCAGGAGGAAAAGCAGGAGAGGCAGGACGAAAAGCAGGAGAGGCAGGGGCAGCAGTAGCAGCAGGAGGAAAAGCAGGAGGGGCAGGAGGGAGAGGAGGAGCAGAAGGAGCAGGAGTGAGAGGGCATGGGGCGAGTAGCTCTAGTGATGTTACCTTACTCAGAAAGCTCACTGGGGTAGCGGCTGGAGGTAAGGTGATTACTGCTGTGGGGGATCCATTGGGGCTGCTGGCAGGGTGCCGAGGGAGTCGGGGAGACGGGAGGGGAGAGGGGAAGGGAGAGGGGAGGGGAGAAGGGAGGGGAGAGGGGAGGGGAGAGGAGAAGGGAGAGTTTGCAGGGGAGGGTTTGCAGGGAGGGAGAGGAGGGGGGAGAGAGGGGGACAGGAGAGGAGGGAGAGGAGGGGGGAGAGAGGGGGACAGGAGAGGAGGGAGAGGAGGGAGACAGGGAGGGAGGGGGGGAGGGAGAGGGCGGGGAGGGAGAGGAGGGCGAGGAGGAGGAGGAGGATCAGGAGGCGGAGAGGTGAATGAAGACAAGAAGAGCTTGTTACGCCGGGAGCTGGTAACCGCAGTCCGGCGCGAGTGCCAGCTTGTGCACAAGGAACGAGCGATGCCGCCTGCAAACGCCGTCGCTGACGTGGCGACGCGGTGCAACGAGAGGAAGCTCGCCGCCCGATACGCGCAGGAGGCGAGCGAGCGGCTGTTCCTGTGCCTGCTGCTGAAGCGCACCCAGGGGTGCCTCTCGAACGCGTGGGTCACAGCCATTGGGCCACGCTACATGAACGTCTACATTGAACGCTTTGGGGTGAGTAGGGTGACGGTGGGGCTGCTCGTGCGTGTGTGCTTAGTTGACGGGTGCAGGAGGCGAGCGAGCGGCTGTTCCTCTGCCTGCTGCTGAAGCGCACCTAGGGGCGCTTCAGCATGCGATGTTCCTCTCTCCTGAGTGTGGGTCACGGCCGTTTGACTGCGCTACACGAGTGTCTAAACCGAATGCTTCGGGTATAAAGTGAAGTTTTGAGACGTCTCACAACCGCGCTACATGAACATCTACATTGAACGCTTCGGGTTGAGTTATGCTGCCTGTTCGTCTCTCCCTCTGCTCTGTGCAGATGGAGGACTTTTGAGGCGCCTCAAAAGTCGTCTCCCCCTCTGCACTGGGAAGATGGAGCACTTTTGAGGCGCCTCAAAAGTCGTCTCTCTAGCCCTCTGCACTGGGAAGATGAAGCAGCCCATTCACTTCAACTCTATTCCCAACACCGCCTGCCAGTGGTTATCTACCTCGGTTGTCATTCTCGTTGCCAAATTCCCTCTCTCCCTTTTATGCCCCGCCTGCACATCTCTTCCTCCCCGCCTCTCCTCCCCGCCTCTCTTCCTCCCCGCCGCATAGATGGAGTGGCCCGTTTATTTCTAACTCCTTCCCCAACATGACCTGCCAATGCTTCGCTGCCACTGCTTTTCCACCTGTTTTTGAGTCGACTCAAAAATACGCTGCCGCTGCTTTTCCACCTGGGGTGGTCTCCTCCTTGCCACGCTCCCTTCCTCTCTTTTTCTCACTCCCCCTCTCCCCTGCATTTTTTATTCCGCCCTGCTCCCTCCCCTCTCTACAGATGGAGTGATTCATTCACTTCAACTCCATCCCCAACACCATATGCCAGTGGTTCGCAGCCACGTTCTCATTGTCATGCTCCCTTGCTTCCTTTCTGCCCTGCCTTTTTTCCCCTTGCCCCCCCACTGTGTAGATGGAACGACCCATTCACTTCAACTCCATCCCCAACACCATATGCCAGTGGTTCGCAGCCACTAGCACCATCATCATCAGCGCCAAGCCTCCACCTTCCGATGCTAACACCAAGGCTCGGAATGGAAAGGCTCGGAAAGACCAGGCTCGGGACGGTGAGGCTGGCAGCGCCGCAGAGTGCAAGGCAGCGGCAGTGGCGGGTCTATCAGCAAATGATTTGGCCCATATGATATCACCATCAGCGTTGGTTCAGAGTGATGGTGCTGGTGGTGGTGGTGGTGGTGGTGGTGGTGGTGGTGGTGGTGGTGGTGGTGGTGGTGGTGGTGGTGGTGGTGGTGGTGGTGGTGGTGGTGGTGGTGGTGGTGGTGGTGGTGGTGGTGGTGGTGGTGGTGGTGGTGGTGGTGGTGGTGGTGGTGGTGGTGGTGGTGGTGGTGGTGGTGGTGGTGGTGGTGGTGGTGGTGGTGGTGGTGGTGGTGGTGGTGGTGGTGGTGGTGGTGGTGGTGGTGGTGGTGGTGGTGGTGGTGGTGGTGGTGGTGGTGGTGGTGGTGGTGGTGGTGGTGGTGGTGGTGGTGGTGAGGGGAGCAGTGGCAGTGCAGTGGCAAGTGAAGGTTTGGAGGATTCAACTGCGGTTTCAGGCCTGGCAGCAGATGACCTTGCCCACAACATCTCGCCTGATTTGCTAGAAGGAGATGACGATGCAGATGGTGGTACAGGTGGTGCTTATAACGAGGATGACAGTATCCTGCTGGTTGATGGTGGGCTGGCAGCTGCGGCAGAGGCGGCAGCGGGAGCGGGGGACGAGGGAGAAGGGGGAGTGGTGCAGCCTGTGGTGCTGCCTCTGACTCTCCGTGTGATGTCTCAGGTGCCTGTGTATGTGCATGCCACAGGGGGTGGCAAGCAGTTGATGGACATTGGGACTCGTTTGTATGTTGGCTGATTCAAGATGGAGGATGAGTGAGGAGAGGGGTTGTTGCAGCCTGTATTGTAGGCATTGACTCACCGGGTCATGTCATTGCTCAGGTCAGGTGCCTGTGCATGTGCATACCACGTGGGGTGGCAAGCAGTTGATGGGTATTGGGGCTCGTTTGTATGTGGGCTGATTGCATATGGTGGATGAGTGACGAGAGGGGAGCGTAGTAACCTCTGGTGTTGCCTTCGTCACTTCATGCTATGGCTCGCGTGTCTCTGCTTGAGCATGGAACGGGGGTGGCAAGCAGTTGGTGGATATTCGTTTATACGTTGGCTGATAAGATGTATGGTACATATGTGCAATGTGGAATCTCCTACACTGTTGATTGTATATATGTTGGATGATAAGTTTATGGTGCATACCATGCAACGTGGAATCCTTTGCAACATACGGTACCCACAACGCAACCGCAGATACGGGTGGTACTTGCTGTCAGGATTCATGGTGTGGTAATCCCTTGTGCTAATGGCGGTGCGCAAACAACATACTGTAGATCACATAATGTTGTTTCAGGTGAGTATGGAAATGGAAATGGTCATTATATGTTTACATTACTTAGCCATAATAGAGGACTGACGGCGTTAAAGCACTTCCTTACCGCAATTGTCCTTGCTGTCGGTTCAAAATCAAGATGTCACAGATCCACAAGACCCAACAGCCCGCCAATGCCATCGCACAGCAGCATGTGCACTGCAGTTCATTCACACACGACTTCCCTAGGTGTGTAAAATGGTTTTTCTAGTTAAAGATTGTTACAGTTCGGTTGGGGATAACACGCCTTGGGAGCATCCCGCCAATGGCTGCAGCTTGTGGCTCGCTCTGGTCTCAATCCCATCGGTTTCTGTTGACACTGTCATCTTGTCTCTCCAGTTGCAGAAGGTGCCAAAGCAATCTTTCCCCGATGTCGCGTCAGCAGCATGCCGCTGTCTTTCAGCGGAGAGCTGGAGTCGAACTCAGAGACACTGTAACTCGATAAAGTTCTTCACTCCAACTCATCCCAGCTCCGCTTGACTCCCGCCCGCCTGTCTCCCCTCCCCCCCAGCTTCCTCAAATTCCGCCGAGCCCACCTCTGTCACCCTCTCCTCTCCTCTCCTCGCCTCCTGTCCTCATGCTCTGTCCCCCGTCCGCCACTTCGACGAGTCTTCCCCTCCCTCCCCCTCACCTCCGTCTTGTGTGAATTGTGATTCGTGCTTTCCCCACTCTTCCCTTGAATAGTGTGGTTTTCAGGGTGTAGATGCACCCATCAAACCCCTTTGTTGCTTGTAAATAACCCGTCACATTGGAGCTCGATTCTGACAACTTCTGATTAACTTGAAATTGCTTACCGTGTTTCAATTTAAAGATTCGAAAACATGCGGTACACGAGCTGTGACTCCAAACAAGAAAGAAATGCGGCAGCAGCCCGGAAAGTCGAAGTACAGTACGTAGTTTGTTTGAACCGTACGTGCTACCAAATCTCGAGGGCCTCTGCCGGACCTGACCCAAACCGGCCTTCAACCCTCACCACATATTCCGCCTTCCCCGTAACTCCTGCGCCGCCCGCCACGGTCCCACCTCATCCGTTTCTTCCAACTCCAGATCTGAATCCCCTTCCTCGATTCTTCCTGCTCTGTGGTTGTTACTGATGTTTCTTGAGCGACTCATGGGAGAGACTGGAGTTCAAGCTAGTGTGAGCAGTCATGCTTCGCGTTTCATTTTTTTTCCCCCAAGACCCGGCTGTTTGTTTCAGCAGGGAGCTTTCGCCCAAGTAAGCTTCTCTATTAGATGTGTGAAAGCTCTTTCGCTTGAAGATGTCATGCTTGTGTAACGGCGAGCATATAAATACGGTAATTCAGTTCTTAGTACATAGCGCCCTCGAGCGATCTACGTCGGTTTCCGTATGCATGCCATGTTACGTTTTTTGTTAGGCTTTTTTTTGTTTAATTCCTTGTTTTTTTCTGTTTTTGTTTTTGTGTTCTGTCTGTTTGTTTGTTTGTTGTTGTTCTTTTTTTTTTCCTTGTCGTCTAGCTTCTGGATAGCATCCGTTCCCTTCTCTCTTTTCCCACATGTCCCTTTTTTTTTGTTTTCCAAGCAGCTGGTTGGACTCAAGATCTTTCCGTCCGCCACTTCTCAGGGGTTACGTCTTTAGCGAATAAGAGAATCTATAGATCCGCCATGCTATGAGACTAGTTACTAGAGGAACAGTTTCTGTTCGTGGTACCAGACAATCCTCCGGTTAATTGATCATCCCAACCTACGCATTCATTAGACATCGCGGTTGGGTAACATTTGCACTCCCACGGTTGTTCGGTATGCCGATTGGAAAACAACGGCAAGGTGAAGTGGACGACGATGAGAGCAGCGGGAAGGAGCGGCATCGATCGCACAGGGAGAGGGACAGCGACGGCCATGGCGGCCCGACCCGTCCGCTCGCGTCGTTAATGTCGACTGCTCCTCACGTTCCGCATGGGCCGAGATCCCATCATGGACACGACGCGGGACACACAGGAATCGCGGGACACGCGGGAAACGCGGGCCACGCGGGGCAGAGGACTCATGGTAGTGATCCCGGACCAAGAGCTTCGGAGGACGTTCATCGTTCTTCACATCACGACCCGTCGCCTCCCCTCGACAAGCATCTTTCAACGCTTCTCGCGGACATTAATGCCGTTTGCTCGAAACCGGGAGGCGGCTTGCCGAATCTCAAGGCCGTGGAGTCGCTCCTATCGCTTGTGAACGCCGACAAGAGCGACGGGCGACGGAAGCTCGGTTTCGCCGACGCCGTCGCACGCCGTCGCGCGGTCGCGCTCGCAGTCGCAGCCACGGACGAGGAGTCGTGCCTGTCGCATTTCATCGCGAAAGGAGGCCTGAAAACCCTAGATGAATGGCTGCAGGAAACTCACAAGGGAAAATACAGCCACGGGAACACCAGCAGCGGCAGCGGCGGCGGCGGCGGAAGCGGCAGGGGAGGAGATGCAGTCGATCAGGCCGCTCTAGATGACCTCTTATTGGCGCTTCTTCGCGCGTTAGCGCGATTGCCGGTGGATCTCGAGGCGCTCAAGAGCTGCGTGGTGGGCAAATCGGTGAACCAGCTGCGCAGCCAGCGCAACACGGAGGTGCAGAGGCGCGCAAAGCGGTTGGTGGAGGTTTGGAAGAGGCGCGTGGACGAGACGCTCGCGGAGAATATGGGGCGAAAGAGCGCAGGGGGAGGGGGAAGCGCAGGGGGAAGCGCAGGGGGAAGTGCAGGGGGAGGGGGAGCCGCAGCAAACGTAAGTACAGCAGCAAGTGGGGGGACAGCAGCTTCAGGAGCAGAAGCAGGGACAGGGGGGGCAGGTGCGAAAAATGGGACACCCGTTATAGTCACACCCGTGGCCGCATCACCCCTGCGACCGTCCGCTGTTTCCTCCCTTGCATCTTCTCCAACCCAGCTCACAGCAGGCTCGGGGCAGCCTCGGGCTGCCAAACCTAGTGGCTCGGCAGCGGACGGGGGAGACCTCGGCGGGACGCCGGGGGCGGGGAGAGGGCGAGGTGGAGGCGGAGCGGGGGAGGGGGGGCGGCCGCCTCCTTCCCCCCTTTCCGTTCCGGGGGGCAGCCCCAGGGGCAGGGGGGAGTCGCAGGCTTCGCCTGGGAGTATGAGAAGTGGTAACCAGAAGGGTCACGCGAGTGGGTTACCAAAATCTGGTGGGAGTGGAAGCAAGGTGGTGAGTCCGAGAGGAGTAGGTTCGTCAGGAAAAGGGACAGGAACGGAACGGGTGGAGGGTAAGGTTTCTTGGGTGGGAGGAGGGGAGAAGGGAGATGCTGGGGAGGAGGAAGTGGGAGAGGAGAAGAAACGAGGGGAGAGGGAGGAACGAAAAAGTGGAAAGTTGCAAGCGGAGGAGGAGAGGGAGAGGGAGAGGGAGAGGGAGAAAGAAAAGGAGAAGGAGAAGGAGAAGGAGGAGGACAAGAAGGATAAGGAGAAGGAGAGGGAGAAGGAAAAAGAAAGAGAAGGGAAGAAAGGGGGGCTGGGGAGCAAACCAGGGAAAGGGGTTCAGAAAGAGGAGGCCGTTGTGGTGGGCAATGAGCTGTCAAAGGCAGAAAAATCAGCAGAAAACGATGCTGCTGCTGCGTCTGCTGTGGCTTCTGCTGCCCCTGAGCCATCTGATGGGCAAGGGAGGCTGCAGGAGCGAGCTGGCTCGAGTAAACCGCAGGGAGAGGCTGTGCATTTGCAAGAGACGGAGAATGAGGAGAAGGAGAAGCGAAGGGAAAGGAGGGAGGGGAAGGAGGGGGAGGAGGGGAAGGATGGGAAAGAGAGGAAGGATCAGGAGGAAGGAAAGGAGGATAAGAAAGGCAAGGAGGAAAGGGAGGTGGGGGCTAGGTCATGGACTCCAGGAGAGGCAGAGAGACCGCGGTTGGCTGAAGAGGCGAAGGATGGTGACGGAGAGAAAGACCGTGGGGAGAAGGCGGGAAAAGGGGCTGATTCAAATGGGAGGAAAGAGGAAGTGGAGGGTGAGAGTGGTGTCAAGGTAACAGAGTCCGGTTTGGTTGAAGCATTGACGGGAAAGAGAGATGCGGTCGGATCAGACGGTGGTGCAGGAGCAGCTGAGAAAGGTGCTGCTGGTGCTTGTGCTGCTGAGGAAAAGGGGGGTAAATCAGAAACCGCTGCTGCTGCTTCTGCTGCTGCTGCTGCGCCTTCTCCTCCTCCTCCTCCTGCTGCTGCTCCTGATGCTTCCGCGGTTTCTGGAACAGCAGAGAAAGGAGAGGCAGCGGCAGCAAACCGGCTAGTGGTGAAGATCCCAGTACCTGTAAAGAGCCCTGTCGTTAGTCCTGCCGGTGGGATGGACGGCCGTCAAGTAGCGAGTTCCCCTATGCGCAGCAGCAGCGAGAGGGCTTCTAGTGGAAGTCGGAGGGAGGAGGAGGAGAAAGGGCGGAAGGGGAGGGAGAAGAAAGGGGAGGAGGGTGAAGGGCGTGGGGAGGAGGATGGGGAGAAGAAGAGTGGGGTGGATGGGAAGGGGAGGGAGAAGAAAGGGGAGAGGGAGAGTGAGGGGCGTGAGGTGGAGAGGGATAGGGAGCATGGGAGGAAGAGGGAGAGGGAGAAAGATAGGGAGAAGGGTAAGGAGGGGGAGAGAGGGTCGAAGGATAGGGATAGGGAGTCTAAGAGGAGTAAGCATAAGCATAGGGAGGGTAAGGAGGGTAAGAAAGAGAAGGGGAAGGACAGAAAGGATAGGAAAGAGAAGGAGAGGGAGAAGGAGAGGGAGAAGGAGAGGGAGGAGAAGAAGGAGAAGGATAAAGAGAAGGAGAGGGAGAGGGAAAAGGAAAAGGAAAGGGAGAGGGATAAGGAGAAGGAGAGGGAGAAAGAGAAGGAGAGGGAGAAAGAGAGGGAGAAAGAGAGGGAGAGGGAGCATCGAAAGGAAAAGGGAAGGAAGGAGGAGGACGACAGTCAGGCAGAGCTAGTGGAAGGTGGGGAGGGCGCAGGAGGGAAAGCAGGCGCACAGAGAGTGCTTGGAGAGAAAGGGATAACGGAAGGAGGAGAGGGACGGGCGGTCAGGGATGAGTCCAGCACAGAGCGAGATGCGAACAGCAAGGCAGATTTGCTTGTCAAGGGCATGGGCGAGAGTGCTCTGGATGGGGCAACAGCTGAAAGGCAAGAGCATGTGGGTGGTGCTGCAGTTAGCCCTCCTGCGGAGGGAGTGGCGGCTACAGGAGCAGGGAGTGTTGGTGCAGCAGGGAGTGTTGGTGCAGCAGGGAGTGGAGGGGAGGTGCGGAGCCGGCAACAGCAGGGAGAGGCGGCAAGGCCGGGGGAAGAAGAGGATGAGGAGAAAGGGGGAGAGAGTAGAAGTGCTGCTGCAACTGCTGGTGGTGGTTCTGGTGGTGCTAGTGCTGCTGCTGGTGCTTGTGCTGGTGCTGCTGGTGGTGCTGATTCTGGTAATGGTCGTGATGGTGGGGACACAAGGCAAGATTCTTCTGACGTGGGTAGTGGGAGAAGGAGCGGCGGAGGCGGGCAGGAGGTAGCAGGGGAAAGGGCAAAAGAAGAGACGGGAGCAGAGACGCAGGCAGGGGCAGGGGCAGGGGCAGGGGCAGGGGCAGGGGCAGGGGCAGGGGCAGATAAGGGCGGTGGGGCAGGAGAGCAGGGGATGGTGACACAGGAGGGGGACTTGAAGGGGGAAGAAGGCGTAGGAGTAGGAGGATTAGCAGAGGCAGCCGTTGCAAGGCCAACACAGAAGGGGGGTGCAGGGAGAGGGACGGGAGATGGAGGGGAAGAGGTAAGTGGAAGGGAAAAAGGTTCTGATGGCAAGGGTTTGAAGCAATTGCAGGGACAGCAGGAGCGTGAGCAGGAGGGGAAAACCGAGCAGCAGCAAGAGGGGGAGAAGGAGGAAGAGGGGGAGGGGCCAGGGGGTAATGGTGGGGATGAGAGAAGGCTTATTGTGAGATTCTCGGTGAGCAAGCGTGGGAAAGAGGAGGAGGAGGAAGAAGCTATTGGTGTGACAGAGCTGGGGGGAGCAGCAGTCAGGGCTGCTTCTGAGGGCAGATCTGAGAAGCATCAGAAGCCGGTTCTAGAGGATACTTGTGGGGTAGGTCAGAAGCAGGCCGCTGGGGATCGGCTGAGTGAGGGGAATGCTGCAGAGGTGGCAGGAGGCGCAGGCAAGGAGTGGAGTGGGAGCGGGCGGGAAGCTTCTGGAAATGGTCCTGTGGGGGGCCGTGGCGAGTTTGGGGGCGCGAGGGAAAGAGAAGAGAGAGAAGAAGGAGAGGAGAAGAAAGAAAGAGACGGATCAAAGGATAGAGAGGGAGTGAGAGAAAGAGAGGGCGTGGGAGAAAGAGAGGGAGTGAGAGAGCAGGAAGGGGGAAGAGAGAGGGAGAGCGATCCTGGCCCTGGGAGTGGAGGAGGGGGTTTGAAGGCTGACGTGGCACTGGCAACTGGTGGGGGGCTGGCAGGGCGGCATACTTTGGACTATCTGCCTCTGCCTCCCAGAAGAAGAGGGTCGGACAGTGATCGGCCCCGTGCCCCCACCGGTTCGAGTGAGTGTGTTTTGTTTTTGTTTTTTCTCAATGAATTTTGTGGGAGACCTGTTTGCTATATTTTTGAGTACATTGTTAATTTTGTTTTTATTTTTCCTTTTCATCATAGTCACAGGTTAGCGATCAGCCGTGATTGTAGAGGGTGTGTCATCACCTCCTCACAAAAATTCTCTTCTGCCTCCCTTTGCCCTTCCCGTCCTCCAGGCATAGTCACAGGAAGGAGGTCAGCTGTGATTATAAAGGGCACCGTCATCCCCTCACCGCTCTCCCACCGGCCAGTCAAGAAAGTCAAGGCAGTCAAGATGGCCACTGTCGCCTCTGTCATGGAAGCTTCCTGCCCCAGCACCCTCCCTTCCTCCCCTCCTCCCTTCCCCCTCTGTCCCTCCAAGCATAGTCACAGGGAGTCAGTCAGTCATGATTATTAAGGCTTTTCCTCACAAACTCTTCTGTCTCTTATTGCCCTGTCCCGTCCCTTACAGGCATAGTCACGGGCAGGCGGTCAGCCGTGATTATAAAGGGCACCGTCATCCCCTCACCACTCTCCCACCGGCCAGTCAAGAAAGTCAAGGCAGTCAAGATGGCCGCGGTCGCCTCTGTCATGGAAGCTTCCCGCCCCAGCACCCTCCCTTCCTCCCCTCCGCATTCACTGCCCTCTACCCACGAACCCACACTCCACCCCCCCACCTCCTCTCTCTCCTCCCCTCCTCGCGCCCCTCCCCCCTCCTCTCCTCTGCTTTCTCGAATCCCCAAGGGTAGGCGGTCCCCTGTTCCTTGGCTGCCCCTGGGGGGGTCTAGAGGTGCCTCTCCTGCTGTTTCCGAGGGGGAGGGGTTGGAGGCAGAGAAGAGGAGTCCCAAGGGGTTGAGTGAGATTGCGAGTGGGTTGAGAGGTGTGGGTGACGGTGCTGGTGGTGCGCCTGCTGCTGCTGCCGCTGCTGCAGATGTTCCCGCTGCTTCTGGAGCTGCAACTGCAACAGTTGCTGGTAATGGTGGTGGTGGTGGTGCTGCTGCTGCAAGTCCTGCTGCTGTTCTTGCGGCCGAGACTGGTGATATGGATGAGAATGGGGCAAGCAGAGCTATTACACCCAAAGATGAACCCCAGGGGGTGAGAGAAAATGCCTCAAACTCTCAAGGGTTGGAGGGCAGTGGCAACTGCAACAGTGCAGATGCGGGCGAGGATTCGCCGCCCACCGAGACTGCTACAGTGCTGGCGTCGCTCATGAGCGTGGCGAGTGCAGAGAGGGCTGATCTGGAGGAGGTGCCAACTGGGGGAGGCGCCAAGGGGGGAACTGGGGGAGGTACCGAGGGGGGCGGTGGTGGGGGCAGGGAATTAGGGTTTGGGGGATGCGAGGCAGAAGGGCGGAATACTGGGCATTTGAGTGGGCGGGACGGGGAGTCACGAGTGGGGGAAGAGGGAAGAGCGATTGGAGAGAGGGGAGAGGCGGAAGGGATGGGAGGTATGGGAGAGGGCACGGGAGAGGGCATGGGAGAAGGCACGGGAGGGGGAGTAGACGATGGACCAAGCGCGGATCAGCTAGCGATTGAATGCCTGCTGAAAGCTGCAGAGGCCAAGGACGAAGGGGACGGGGAGTTATCTGGTGATGTCCTGGGGAGCGGAGGGAGATTGGAGGAGGGAGCGGGGGTAGATGTGAAGGGGGGGATGGGTTTGGCGGCAGGAGGAGGGGCAGCAGCAGCTGGGGAGGTAGCAGCAGCAGCAGCAGCAGCAGGAGAAGCAGAGGTTGTTGCAGAGGTAGCAGGGGGCAAGGCAGCAGCGAAACGAGAAGCAGGAGCAGGGGCAGGGGCAGGGGCAGGGGCAGCAGATTCAGAGGATGAAGAGGAGTTGAGTGTGGCAGCAGTTTTGGCATTTAGCAAGTGGCAGGGGAAGGGGCGGCAAAACGGCCAAATGATTTCCAGTTCTGGTCGCTCTGATACCATTCCCACGGCCTCTGCTCTCGCCTGCGCTGCTGCAGCTGCCGCTGCAGCCAGTGCTGCACTGCACGCTGCTTCCCTCTCCTCTGCCCTGCCGTCACACCCTTCCCCCCTGTCGTCCCCTCCTCTTTCCCACCGCTCCTCCCTGTCTGCCCCTTCGCTTCCTGCCGCCTTGCAAAGCCCGTGGCGGGCGGCTCTTGCTGCGGAGATAGAGAGGGAGAAGAGCGAGGGGGCATGGGCATCTGGGGAAGAGATTGCGATAGGCCCTGGGGCAGACGCGGTGGGAGGGGTTGCGGAAGGGAGAGGGGCGGAAGGATTTGGGGGGGCTGGAGAGGGAGCAGGGGAGAAGCAAGTGAGGATGCCTGTTGCTAAGAGGCTCAAGGTGTGTGGTGATGGGGATACGGACAGTGTGGGGAGTGGGGGAGTGGGGGGTAAGAGGGGGAAAGGGAGTGGGAAGAAGAGGGAAGATGGGGAGAGGGCGGTGGAGGGGGGGAGGAAGGAAGCAGGGGAGAGGAAGAAAGAGGGGGGAGAGAAGAAGGAAGGGGGGGAGAAGGTGAAGGTGACAAGGAAGAGGACGGGAGCAGGGGTGTCCAAGGCAGGAGGGGAAGGGGCTCGGAAGGTTGGCGGAGGGGTGAAGCCTCGTGGGCTGGTTAAAGCAAAGGATGGTTCTGCAGCAGCAGCAGCACCAGCAGCGGTAGCAGCAGTGGCAGCAGCAACAGCAGCAGGAGGAGGAGGAGCAGCAGCAGCAGCAGCAGCAGCAGGAGCTGGGGCAGGGGCTGTTGGGGTTGAGGCAGCGAAAGAGGAGAAGCAGGACGGTGCAGGGGAGGCGGGTGGGAAGGTGGAAACACCAAAGAAGCAGGGCAAACAGGAGAAGGAGGAAAAGCAGGAGGAGGAGGAAAAGCAGGAGGATATTCCGCTGCGGCGGCTGCAGAAGCAACAGGCAGCTGAAAAGAAGGAGGCGAAGGCTCGTCAGTTGCACCAGCAGCAGCAGCAACAGCAGCAGCAACAGCAGCAGCAACAGCAGCAGCAGCAGCAGCAGCAGCAGCAGCAGCAGTTGATGCATCAGCAGCAACAGCAGCAGTCAAAGCAGCAGCAGTTGAAGCACCAGCAAGGGCAGCAACAGCAGCGGGTGCAGGAAGGAGCGGGGTTGACTAAAGGGGAGGCAGGCGAAGAGGATGGGGTGCTTGGGTTGCAGCAGTTGCAGCAGGCTCTGATGCAAGGCCAAGCAGGGGCTTCAAAGCAGCCACAGCCGCCACAGCAGCAGCAGCAGCTGCCTCCACAGCAGCAGCAGCAGCAGCCGTCCCTGTTAATGTCACAGTCGCAGCTGCACAAGGGCCTTCCATTACAAGCACAAAAAGGGTCATTACAGTTGCAAAAGGGTTTACAACATGGGCAGACATTATCACATGTGCAGGTACAACAGGGGCTGCCCTCGTTACAGTCACACTCACTGCAGGGGCTGCACTCGTTTCAGTCACACGCACAAGGAGGGTTGCAGCCACAGGCGCAAGCACAGAAGGCTGCGCATTTTCAGGAGAAGCAGGTGCAGTCTCATGGGTTAAAGGCGGGAGGGGCTGCAGCGGGGGCTGGTGGGACAAAGAGGAAGGCAAGCAGAGCGAAAAAATCCACTGACGAAGCTCTACAGCAGCAGCAGAACCAGCAAGGACAGAAGCAGCAGGAGGAGAAACCAGCTGAGAAGAGGCCGCGCATTCTGTTTGACTTTGACTTAAACGTCGCTGAGGACACTGCTGAAGCCGCTACAGCTGCCGCTACAGCCGGTCCAGCAGCCACCTTTCCTCCTGCTGTTGCTGCCCCTGCGTCTGCCCCTGTCTCTTCCTACGCACCTGCCCCTGCCCCTGCCCCTATCCCTGCCCCTGCCCCTGCCGCTCCCCCTCCCCCTGCCCCTGCCGCTCCCCCTCCCCCTGCCCCTGTGCCTGCCCCTGTGCCTGCCCCTGTGCCTAGAGGATTTGACCTCAACTTTGCAGAGGAGGCGGAGGAGGAAGAGGCAGGGTCTTTCCCTCCTCCGCCTCCTCCTGCTGCTGCTCCTACTGCTGCCACTCCCACTGCTGCCACTCCCACCCCCGCTTCCCCTCCAGCATCACAGGGTCGGTTCTTGGACTTTGATCTGAATGATGGGCCGGGGTTTGGAGATGAGCCCTCGCTGCCGTCTCCTTCCCCTACCCCTCTGGCAGATAGAGCAGCTGTAGCCGCTGGGGCAGGTGTAGCATTGCATTTCGCGCACTCTGCCTCTCCTTTCTCGCATCCGCAAGCTCAGGTGCAAGGTGGAGTGTTGCAGCAGCAACAGCAGCAGCAGCAGCAACAACAGCAGCAGCAGCACCAACAGCAGCAGCAGCAGCAGCAGCAGCAACCACAACACCGGCAGCAGCAGCAGTGGCAACAACAGCAGCGGCAGCAACAAGGGCAGCAGCAGCAGCAGCAGCAGCAACAGCAACAGCAACAGCAACAGCAGCAACAACAGCAGCGGCAGCTACAAGGGCAGCAGCAGCAGCAACAGCAACAGCAACAGCAACAGCAACAGCAACAGCAACAGCAACAGCAACAGCAACAGCAACAACAACAACAACAGCAGCAACAACAGCAGCAGCAACAACAGCAGCAGCAACAGCAACAGCAGCAGCAGCAGCAACAACTGCAACATTCAATGCAGCAAATTCCTTCCCAGCAACAGTCCAATTCAGCAGGGACAGCAGCTACAGTGGGATCTTCAGCCAGTGGGAGTCTGCCACCTGGCAACATCCCGTTGCTTCCCCCCGGATTGGCGTCTCACCCTCTGTTTGGCAAGCTGGCAGAGCAGCTGCTGAGTCAGCAGGGGCTGAGTCAGCAGGGTGTGAGTCAGCAGCAGCAGGTGTTGGGCCAGCTGGCGTTTCTGCAGCAGGCTCTGCCACCTCATCTGCAGATGCAGATGCAGCAGCAACTGCAGATGCTGCAACAGAACCAGCAGCAGTTGCAGCAACAGCAGCAACAGCAGCAACGGCAGTTCCAGTTTCAGCAGCAGCAGCAGCCGCAGCAGCAGCAGGAGCAACAGCAACAGCAACAGCAACAACAACAGCCGCAACTACAGCAGCAGCCGCAACAGCAACAGCAACGGCAACAGCAACAGCAACAGCAGCAGCAACAGCAGCAGCAGCTATCACAACAGGCCCCGTCACTACAGCAGTCACCACAGCAACAGCATCAGCAGCAACAACCATCACTACAGAATCAGCAGCAGAAGCATCAGCAGCATCAGCAGCAGCAGCCGCAGCAGCCGCAGCAGCAGCAGCAGCCGCAGCAGCCGCAGCAGCAGCAACATTTCCCTCCCCGTTTCTCCCAGCAGCAGATCCGCCCCTCAGCAGGCTCAGCAGCAAAATTTGTAGGCCACCACTCTCCTGCACCTCTACCCCCATCCACACACCCAGCTGCGTCACCCTCATCAGCAGCACCACCAGTGGTACCACCGCCTTTCACAGCCTCTGCCCCAGCCCATGTCGCCTCTGCTACCGTCCCATCCCGTTTCAGCACGAGCAGCATGCCATCCCATTTTACAGCTAGCAACGTGCCTCCTAACGTCACCAGAAACAGCACTACCGGCGGCAGCATCGCTTCACAAAGCACCAATACTCGCCACCCCACCACTCTCTCTCAATTCACGCACCTTCCCCGGCCGTCCATGCTCCCTGGGGCAGTCCCATTCCCCTCCTCCGCAGGTCCCATCCCCAGCGGTGTGCTCTCTGCTCTCATGGCTGCTTCTTCCGCTTCTGCTGTTGCTGCTTCTTCTGCTTCTGCTGCTGCTGCTGCCTCCGCCTCTGCTTCTGCTTCTGCTGCTCCCTCTGCTGCTGCCTCTGCTGCTGCCGCCCAACCCTCCTCTGCTGGTCCTACGTCTGTGTCTCCCCCCCTATTCCCTCCCAACAACAGCCCGCATCTTTCCACACCAGCATCATCCCCCTCTCCCTCCCTCTCCGCAGCTGTTGCAGCCAGTGCAGCTGCAGCGGCAGCGGGGCCTGCTCGGGTTGTAGCAGGAGGGGCGGCAGGGGCTGTAGCAGGGGGGTCGGCAGGGGCTGTAGCAGGAAGAGCGAGTGGAGCTGTAGCAGGTGGGCCGGCAGGGTCAGCCAGGGCGGCAGGGGCTGTGGCAGGGGGGGTAACAACAGGGTCTGTAGCAGGGAGAGCGGGTGGATCTGTAGCTGGTGGGCCGGCAGGGGCAGCGATACCAGCTAGTCTAGCCGCGGCAGCTGTAGCAGCAAATCTGGGCCCTGGCGCCTCATCAATCAGCCAGCTGTTGCAGAGACTGCCAGGCGTGACTGGTATACCAGCCGCTACAGGTGCTACAGGCGGGCCTGCCTCTGCTGCTAACGCTGCAGCTGCTTCTGTGTTTGGTGCTGGAGGGGGTCTGAGTGGCCTTAACAACGTGGGTAGCGCGGGTATCAGTGGGACTAACAGCATGGGTAGCATGGGGCTTAACAGCATCGATAGCATTGGTAGTACTGGGGCTAACAGCATGGGTAGCATGGGGCTTAACAACATGGGTAGTACTGGGGCTAACAGCATGGGTAGCATGGGGCTTAACAACATGGGTAGTACTGGGGCTAACAGCATGGGTAGCATGGGGCTTAACAACATGGGTAGTACTGGGGCTAACAGCATGGGTAGCATGGGTATAACTGGGCCTAACAGTATGGGTATGAAAAGCCTTTCTGCTTCTAGCAGCTTAGGTAACAGCAGCAGCAGCAGCATGGGTGCTCTCAACAGCCTTAGCGCACTCTTTGCCTCCTCCTCCCTCCCTACAGTCACACCCCCTCCCGCGTCACTCCTGGCCAAGCTAGCCCACGCAGGTGTGCCGCTATCAGGTGTGCTTCAAACGGGGCTCTCCCAGTCCGTCCTCGCTCAAACGAACGTTCCTCTAACGAACGTGCCAGTGCCAGGTGTCGCACAGCCATTCGCTGCCGTCGCTGCAGCCGCTGCCGCCGCCGCCGCCACTGCCGGCGATGGTGGTGGTGCTGCTCCTGCTTCTGCTGCTGCAGCGACAGCACCTGTGGGTTCAAGGAACGAGCCCTCTAGGGCACTGTCGCCGTGGGCTCAGGGGAAACCTGCACAGCAGCAACGCCCGGCCCCGCAGCAGCAGCAGCAGCAGCAGCAAGCGCCGCAGCTCTCTGCTGCCTTCCCCATCCCTCGCCGCGGATCAAACCCTTCCCTTTCCGCCCACCCCTCTGGCCACCCCTCCGCCCATCCCTCCCTGCCAAAAACCCCTCTCTCCCGCCCTGCCTCTGGCCCTGACCTCCATAACCCCCCTCTCCCCTCCTCTTTCCCCTCTATTGCCTCTCTCCCGTCTCTCCCCTCTATCCCCTCTCTCCCCTCGTTTGTGTCACGACATGATATGAATCAGCCCCCTCCTGCTGCCCCGGGCATGCCTGCTGTTGCTGCACCTCCTGTTACTGTCACATCCTCTCTTGCCACTACCTCTGCTATTCCTGCTGTTCCTTCTTCTTCTGCTGCTCCTCCTATTTCTGGGTCTCCTGCTTCTGCTGCTGCTGCCCCTGCTGCCGCAGTGGCAGTGACAGCTGTACGCACCTTGATTGCCGATTTAAATCAAGAACAGATAGCACCTCCCCCAGTCAACACCCGGCCAGATGACTCTCCAAAAGCGCAGGGGAAGTCGGAGAATGGGGGCGGTGGTGGAGATTCAGCAGGAGGAGGAGGGGGGCGGGGATGGCTAGACCTGGATTTAAATGCAGGGCCAGAGGCAGGAGGGGAGGAGGAGGCGGAGGTGGAAGAACGTGGGGAGGTGGGGGAAAAGGCAGAGATTGGGGGAAAGGAAGAGGTGGGGAGAAAGGGGAAGGCGGAGGCGAATGGGGGGGCACGGGGGAAGGGGAGAGCAGGAGGAACAGAGGAAGTGGGGGGAGGCGAGGTGGGAGGGGAGCGACAGCAGCAGGTGGAGAAGCTGGGAGGGCCTTTGGCAGAGGAGGGGAGTGGGAAAACAGCATCAGCAGTAAGGGGAGATGCGGTTTTGGGTGGTGGGGTGGGTGAAGGAAGGAGTGAAGAAGGGTTGAACAGATTATCTGCCACAGAGCCTGCTGCTGCTGGATCAGCCACAGCTGCTGGTAAAGCTTCAAGTACTGTTTCTTCTACAGCTACAGCTATTGCTGCGGGTATAGCTACAGCTACAGCTGCTGCTGCTACAGCTACAACTACAGCAGCTGGGGCGGGTGGTTCTTCTGTTGCTGTCGCTTCTGTGCTCTCCCCGGCCTCTGCTCCATCTGCTGTTGCTACCGCTGGGCCAAAACCGTCCCTGTTTGCGGGTGTAGCTGCAGCATCTGCAGCAGCAGCAGCAGCAGCAGGAGCAGCAGAAGCAGCAGCAACCGTAAGGTCAGGGAGTGCGGTAATGGCATCTGAGATTATAGCAGGGAGAGAAGCAGGGGGTGAGTTGATCAATCCTGTCAAGGCAAGAGTTGGGATAGAGACAGGAGCAGGGGCAGGTGCAGGGGCAGCGAAAACAGAGGCAGCAGGGGCAGGGGTAGTAGGGGAAGGAGTTGGGGTAGAGGAAGGGAAAGGAGCAGGGGCAGGGGCCGGGGCAGGGGCAGCAGGGGCAGGGGTAGGAGGGACAGGGGTGGCAAGAACAGGAGCAGCAGGGGCAGGAGCAGCAGTGACAGGAGCAGCAGGGACAGGAGCAGCAGGGACAGGAGCAGCAGGGACAGGAGCAGCAGGGAGAGTTGGGTCTGGGGCAGAAGAAGGGGCAGTGGCGGTGGCAGGAAGTGAGAAGGAGGGGCAGGCACAGGGGCAAAAGCAGGTCAGTAAAGCAGAGCTTGTGGGGAGTGGTGCTGCTGGCACGATAGGCAGTTGTGTGAGTAACAGGCCAGTGCAGCTGGAGCAGAAGGAGCTTCACAAGCAAATGCTATCAGGCTATGCTGCAGCTGGCTCGGAAGCGACTGTAGCTGCAGTGCACACAGTGACACCTCAGGTCGCCCGTCAGGTTGCCTCTCTGTTTGCCCCTCAGATTGCCCCTCAGGTTGTCCCTCAGGTTGCCCCTCAGATTGCCCCTCAGATTGCGTCTCAGGTTGCCACTCAGGTGGATCCACAGTTACCTCAGGAGGTGGTGACTGCAGGCGAGGGGGCGCGCAAGAGAAAGGCACCTGACGGTGGGATGGAGGAGGGTGTGGTTGCGAAGAGGAGGGAAGAGGAGAGATGGGAACAGAAGGAGAAAGAGGAGGAAGGGGAGGCTGGCAAGGAGGAGGATAAGGAGAAGGATAAGGATAAGGAGAAGGATAAGGGTAAGGAGGAGAATAAGGAGAAGGATAAGGATAAGGAGAAGGATAAGGATAAGGAGGAGGATAAGGAGAAGGAGAAGAAGAAGGAGATGGAAGTTGAGTTGTCAAATAGGCTGCTGCCAGTAAGCCACGCGTCTCAGGCTGTAGTGCAGCAGGCTGTAGCAGAGCAGGCTGTAGCAGAGCAGGCTGTAGCAGAGCAGGCTGTAGCAGAGCAGGCTGTATCACAGCAGACTGTATCACAGCAGACTGTATTACAGCAGGCTGTAGCACAGCAGGCTGTAGCACAACAGGCTGTAGCACAACAGGCTGTAGCACAACAGGCTGTAGCACAGACGGCTGTAGCACAGAAAGCTGTGGCGCAGGCGGCTGTGGCACAACAGGCTGTGGCGCAGGCGGCTGCAGCGGAGGCGGATGTGAAACAGTCGGATTTAGCACCACTGGCTGTAGCACATGCGGATGTAGCACAAGCGGCTATAACACAGGCGGCTGTATCCCCACAGGCTGTAGCACAACAGGCTGTAGCAGAGCAGGCTGTAGCGAAGCAGTCCGTAGCAAAGGAGGCTGTAGCAGAGAAGACTGTAGAGGGAGCTGTTGCAGAGAAGATTGCAGAGGGGGCTGAAGCTGAGAAGGCTGTTGAGGGGCCTAAGGTTGCAGATGGGGCTGTAGCAGAGAAAGTTGTTGAAAAGGTTGTAGCAGAGAAGGCTGTTGAGGGGCCTAAGGTTGCAGATGGGGCTGTAGCAGAGAAAGTTGTTGAAAAGGTTGTAGCAGAGAAGGTTGTTGAGGGGCCTAAGGTTGCAGATGGGGCTGTAGCAGAGAAAGCTGCTGAAAAGGTTGTAGCAGAAATGGCTACAGATGAAGTGAAAATGTCAGGACGGAAGCGGGTATGGCTAGATCTGGAGGAACCAGCTAAGGGGTTGGAGGAACCGGCCAAGGGGTTGGAGGAACCGGCTAGGGGGTTGGAGGAACCGGCTAGGGGGTTGGAGGGACTGGCTAAGGGGTTGGAGGAACCGGCTAAGGGGTTGGAGGAAACGGTTAAGGGGTTGGGGGAAACGGCTAAGGGGTTGGAGGAACCGGCTAAGGGATTGGAGGAAACGGCTAAGGGGTTGGGGGAATCGGTTAAGGGGTTGGAGGAAACGGTTAAGGGGTTGGAGGGACCGGATAAGGGGTTGGAGGAACCAGCTAAGAGGTTGGAGGAACCGGGTAAGGGGTTAGATGCGGGTAAGGGGTTGGAGGAACCGGTAAAGGGGTTGGAGGAACCAGCTAAGGGGTTGGAGGAACCGGGTAAGGGGTTAGAAGAACCGGCTAAGGGGTTGGAAGAGGATTGGGAAAGGGATGGGGGAGGGAAGGGGAGTGGAGGAGGTAAGGAGAAAGTAGAAAAGGAGGGGAGTGGAGGAAAGGAGGAGAGAGAAGGGAAGGAAGAGAAGGAGATAGGAGGAAAAGAGATGGTAGGGAAGGAGGGGAGGGGAGGGAAGGAGGAGAGAGGAGGGAACGAAAAAAGGAGAGAGAAGGAGGAGGCAGTTGGGAACGGGACAACAGGGAAGGAAGAGAATGGAGCGAAGGAGGAGAGGGGAACAGAGGAGAGTGGAGGGGTGGAGAGGGGTGAGAAGGATGAGACATTTGAAAAGGAGGAAAGGGAAGGGAACGAGACAGTAGGGAAGAAGAAGGAAGGAGGAAGCGAGGAGATAGTGCGGAAGGAAGAGAGGGGAGGACATGAGGAGAGCGGGCGGCAAAGGGTGGGTGTGAGTATGGGGAGAGAAAGAAGGCGACATGGAAAGCAAGATGGAAAGGGGGAAGGTGGGATGACTGATTTCGTGGTGAGTGGAGCAGGGGAGAGCGGGGAGGAGGGTGAGGGAGAGAAGAGGAGAGAGAGAGAGTGGGGAGAGAAGGGAGAGAGTGGGGAGAGGACAGGGGGTGGAGAGAGCGGGCAAAGGAGAGGAGGGGGAGAGAGAGGGGAGAGGAAAGAGGAGGAGGAAGCTTGTTGGGCTGAGAGGGTGGGTCTGCGGGGAGGGAAGGAGCAGGAAGGCGGTGCTATGGCAGGGGGGAAGAAGGAGCAAGCGGGTGGGGTAAGGGCGGAGGGGGAGAGGAAACAGGCAGTTGGGGAGATGACGGGCTGTGATTCAGGGAAACAGATTGCTGCGGGTTTGATGGTTGGGCCAGGTGCAGGGGGTGAGACGGAGCAGGCGGGTGGAAAACCAGCAGCCTGTGATTCAGGGAAAGGTATTTCCAATGCTTTGGTGCTGAGGAGTGGTGGTGGTTGTCTTGTGACGTCTAGTGTGGGGGTGCTTTTGGAGGCGACGGCAGGGGAGGGGAAAGCAGAGAGAGAGGGAACAGGTGAGGAGAAAACAGGGCAGGGGAACACATTGCAGGTGAAAACAGGGGAGATGGGAGCAGAGAAGAAGGATAGGGAGGAGAAGGTAGGGGTCTTACCTGAGAGAAAGTTCGGAGCGCCAGCAGTGACAAGAGAATTCGAGAAAATAACTGTGAAGGAGAGTGTTGCAGGGAAGGGAAATGAGGCAGGGAAGGGAGAGAAAGGAGAGGAAGGGAAGGAAGTGGATGAGGGAAGGAAGGGAGGGGGACAAAAGGAGGAGATGGAGCAAGCAAGGAAAGGAATGAGGCAAAAGGAGGTGGAGGTGGAAGGAGGAGAGAAGACAACCAAAGTGGAAGGAGGAGAGAAGGCAGCAGAGGTGGAGGGAGGAGAGAAAGCAGCAGAGGTGGAGGGAGGAGAGAAAGCAGCAGAGGTGGAGGGAGGAGAGAAAGCAGCAGAGGTGGAGGGGGGCAGAGAGGAGACACGGTTGCTGGAGATTGGTTTAGGGCTTGGCGCTGCTGTTCCTCCTGCTGCTCCTGCTGCTCCTGCTGCTGCTCCTCCTTCCCCTCCTGCTCTTCTTGCTCCTCCTGCTGTTCCTTCTGCTACTCCTGCTCCACCTGCTGCTCCTCCTGCTGATGCTCCTGCTCTTCTTCCTGCTGCTCCTCCGGTTGCTCCTGCTCCTTCTCCTGAAGTTGCTGCTCCCCCTCCTGCTGCTGCTTCTGCTTCTGCTGGTGCGCCTTCTCCTGCCTCTATTTCAGCCCCTGTTGCTGTCGCTGGTTCTGCCTCTGCTGCTCCCGCTGCTGGCTCTGCTTCTCTTGCTGTGTCTTCTCCCCATGCTGTTCCTGCTGCTACTGCTCCTGTTGCTCCTCCTGCTCCACCTGCTCCTCCTGCTCCTGCTGCTGCTGCTGCTGCTGCTCCTGCTCCTGCTGTTTCTACTCTTCCTGCTCTTTCTGCTCCTGCCGCTTCTGCTCCTCCTGCTGCTTCTGCTCTCCCCGCTCTTTCTGCTCCTGCTGCTGGTGCGAAGGAAGAAGCAGGGAAGGCAGGTGCGGCACAGCTGGGCTCAGAACAGGCAGGTTCGTCTGAGAAGGAGTCTCCTGGTAGCAAGATGGCTGCATCTGATGTGGTGATTAAAACTGTGGCTGGAGGTGGGAAGGGAGGAGCAGAGGAGGGTGCGAAGGGGGAAGCAGGGAAGGAGGGTGCGAAGGAGAAAGCAGGGAAGGAGGGTGTGGCAGCGGCACAGCTGGGCTCAGAACAGGCGGGTTCGTCTGAGAAGGAGTCTCCCGGTAGCAAGATGGCTGCATCTGATGTGGTGATTAAAACTGTGGCTGGAGGTGGGAAGGGAGGAGCAGAGGAGGGTGCGAAGGGGGAAGCAGGGAAGGAGGGTGCGAAGGAGAAACCAGGGAAGGAGGGTGTGGCAGCGGCACAGCTGGGCTCAGAACAGGCGGGTTCGTCTGAGAAGGAGTCTCCCGGTAGCAAGATGGCTGCATCTGATGTGGTGATTAAAACTGTGGCTGGAGGTGGGAAGGGAGGAGCAGAGGAGGGTGCGAAGGGGGAAGCAGGGAAGGAGGGTGCGAAGGAGAAAGCAGGGAAGGAGGGTGTGGCAGCGGCACAGCTGGGCTCAGAACAGGCGGGTTCGTCTGAGAAGGAGTCTCCCTGTAGCAAGATGGCTGCATTTGATGTGGTGATTAAAACTGTGGCTGGAGGTGGGAAGGGAGGAGCAGGGAAGGAGGGTGCGAAGGAGAAAGCAGGGAATGAGGGTGCGGCAGCAGCACAGCTGGACTCGAAACAGGCAGGTTCGACTGATAAGGAGTCTACCAGTAGCAAGATGGCTGCATCTGATGTGGTGATTGAAGGGGAGAAGGGAGAAGAAGGAAAGGAAGGGGGGAAACAAGATTACCCGGCACAGGCGGGTTCATGTGGGAAGGATTCTGCAGGTGGGAAAATGGTTGCAGCAGTGCAAGAATTTGGGACAGAGACAGCAGCAGCAGGCGGTGCGAAGGTGGTTGGTGATGCGAAGGGGGAAGCAGGGATTGAGGGTGCGAAGGGGGAAGCAGGTATTGAGGGTGCGAGACCAGAAGACACAAAACCAACGCGATCATCTGAGAAGGATTCTGCAGGTGGGAAGGTGGTTGCAGCAGTGCAAGAATGTGGGACAGAGACAACAGCGGGAGGTGCGAGGATGGTTGGTGAGGAGAAGGGGGGAGCAGGGATGGAGGGTGCGGCACAGCTGGACATCAAACGGGAGGGTTCATCTGAGAGGAGGTCTACAACCGAGGAGGTTGGAGATGTGGAGGAAATTGCACCTGAAAAAGCACCTGAAGGAGCACCTGCAGCTGGGAAGGAAAACGCAGCTGGTAAAGAGAAGGCACCTGGACAGGCACCTGAGAAGGCACCTGGACAGGCACCTGCACAGCGACCTGAGCCTGAGATTCAGTCGGTGCTTGGAAAGCAGGTGGTGCAGGCGAAAGAAGCTCAGTCTTCGTACAAATCTGCTCCTGATAAAACACCTGGAGCTGACGAGGGTAAGGCACCTGATCCTGCAGCTGCAGGGAGGAAGGGGATTCCACCTGAATCCGTGCATCCACCTGAACCTGTGGAGCAACCTGAGCCTGGAAAACCACCTGAAGCTGAAGGAAAGGCCGCTGGTGCAGATAAGGTGGTCAGAAAGGCTGACAAAGAGCCTGCTTCTGTTGCAGCACCTGAGAAGACGTGTCCACTTGAGGACACGCCTGGTGTGAATATTCTACCTGCAAAAACACCTGAGGTGGAAGCAGGTGCTGTGTCAGGAGCTGCGATTGCTGTTGACCCGGTGGATGGGGGGAAGGCGGATGTGGGGAAGGCGGATGTGGGGAAGGCGGATGTTGGGAAGGCGGATGTGGGGAAGGCTGATGTGGGGAAGGCTGATGTGGGGAAGACGGATGTGGGGAAGGCAGATGGGGGGAAGGCGGATGTGGGGAAGGCGGATAGGGGGAAGGCGGATGGGGGAAAGGCGGATGGGGGGAAGGTGGACGAGGGGAAGGCACCTAGGGAGAAAGCACCTGAGGGAAAAGCACCTGAACGAAAAGCACCTGAGGGAAAGACACCTGAAGGAAATGCACCTGAAGGAAAGGCGCCTGAAGGAAAGGCACCTGAGGGAAAGGCACCTGAGGGAAAGGCACCTGTGGGAAAGGCACCTGAGGGAAAGGCACCTGAGGGAAAGGCACCTGCGGGAAAGGCACCTGAGGAACCTGAGGGGAAGGCACCTGAGGAGAAGGCACCTGAGAAGGCACCTGAGGAGAAAGCACCTGAGTGAAAAGCACCTGAGGAGAAGTAGCATTACCAAAGGCATGGAGGGAGGAAGAGCAGCAGGGAGCAGCAGTGACTGCAAAATCTTGGATGAATGGAGGATATAGCCCGCAAGGAATGGTTATGTTTGAGAGTAAGCTTTGAGTTGACGACATTGTGCATGCAGGCACACGCGAACACAGCGAGCGATTCGGGTTTCTCAAATACCTTGACTAGCTAGCTGCAGCGCGATAGGGACATTGCTCCCAGCAGTAGTAATAGGGCGCTTCTGGGGCTCCTCCCATCACATCCGCCTATACTGGGAACCATCAGACCAGATCAAATGGGAAGCAGCTGCTGTTGCGGGATAGTGAAGGGTGGCGTGGCGGTAATAGTGTTAGAGGTGATGCGAGATGTTCTTCTGGATTAGAATCAAAGAAAAAAAAGAGAAAAATATAGGTTTGCTTGTTGGCAGCATCTAGCTGCTTGGTTTTGGAACCCTGTCTACTGACTGACCTAGAAGTGTATAGAATTGTAGTTTGATTGTTAGTAGTACTGTAGATTCGATTGTATAGCATTTAGCCATTGACTTATGCTTTTTTGTTTTACCATACTCACAGCTCGTATGCCTGGTGCGTAGCTCTACTTGTCATTGATGTTATGTTGATGCACTTGTACCCTTCATATGGGCAACTCTTAGGTCTGAACAGCTACACCACAACAGATAGTGATACATCCGTAGTAGATTAAAGAATCTTTCAGGCAGGTTTGGGTACTCAGATCTGATGCCATGCCATTGGGTTAGCCCTTCCGTAAGTGACTGCTCAGTGCACGCAGATTATAGAGTACCGTAGGTAAGAACGACATAAAAATGAAACAACATTGTCCTTTCAATCACTATGAATCACAGTGGCTGCGTGGAGGGTGTTCCAGGCCGAGGTGACTTTTGAGTCGACTCAAAAAGTGTCGTGTGCCTTGTAAAGAGGGCTTTTGAGTCGACTCAAAAGTCACTCTTTCAGTCACTGTTAGAATCTAGCAGCAGGAATGGATGAACTAACAGGATGCAGGAGTACAAGTAGTAAACCCTAACTAGGTTGTACCCCATATGGGCTACCCCACTACAGCCTAGACAATATGCAGCACATATAGTTTGACACACCCCCATAGGCAAAGTGGGGGAGAACAAGGGGTCACACGACCAGTCAAGAGAAGCAAAACAAGCTCAGGGTGGATCACAACGTCACCACGCATTCTGAGCACAAGCAAAGGGCCACTGGGCCAGTTCACATGCAGAGATATATATGCAGCAATAACAGTACAGTGATGGCTACCTAGCAAGAGCCAGCATGCATATATATATATATATGTACAGATCACAGTACAAGCAGAGACTACAGCAAGTGTGGAAACGTAGGCACAAGGCCTAACAGAGTACAAAAGCGCTGATGATCACCAGACGGAAGTGCCTTGGTGAATATGTCAGCAGTGTTGGCCCGAGTGGCCACGTGGCGAAGACGAAGCTGGCCTCGCTGCTGCAACTCTCGAGCCAGGAAGTACCGCAGAGCAATGTGCTTCGTTCTGTGCTCCAGTCTGTGCTCCTCACACAAGGCAATGGCGGCCTTGTTGTCAACGTACAGCACTGGAGGAGAACGAGGCTGCTCTCCCAAGTCAGTCAGCAGGTAGGTGAGCCAGCGTAACTCCTGTGCAGCCATGGCGGTGGCGTAGATCTCAGCCTCACAACTGGAGCCGAGAACTGAAGTCGAGCGTGTAGAACGCCACGAAACTGAACCAGAGCCAAGGCTGAAGGTGTAACCCTGTGACGACCGCTGAGTAGCCAGGTCGTCAACCCAAGAAGCGTCTGAGTGCCCAGTGAGGACAACTGGGCTCGTCCCTCCAAGCACTAGCCCCATGCCTGATGTGCTGCACAAGTAACGCAGTACCCTCTTAGCAGCAGCCATGTGCTCAGGTCGGTGCCGACCAGGAGCCACGTAGCGAGCTAGAAGACCAAGAGGGTACGCGAGGTCAGGTCGAGTGCAAGTCATCAGGTACATGAGGCAGCCGACTAGCTCTGGGTAAGGACCACTCGGCTCTACGGACTCGTCCGAAGGTGGAGCTGAGAGCGTGTGACCTGTAGCCAGAGGAGTGGCCTGTGCTGAAGACCAGGTGAAGCCGAAGCGCTGAAGGACCTGCTGCACCATGTGTGACTGAGTCAAGGTGATGGTGCGACGTGCTCTGTCTCGGGTGATCTGCAAGCCAAGGTAGCTGCGCAGCTCACCCAAGTCTGTGCACGTGTGTCTCTTCTGCAGCTCCGACTTCACGTGGGCGAGAGCCTCAGTGTCAGCAGTGGCAAAAACCAAGTCGTCGACATACACGAGGATGTAGAACGGCGGCAGGGAAGTGTCGGTGCGCAGAAACAGCGACGGGTCAGCAGTAGAAGGCGCAAACCCAAGAGCCGCAAGCGTAGTCCTCAGTGTGTCGTGCCACTCACGTGGCGCCTGGCGGAGACCGTAGACCGGCCGCCGGAGGCTCCACTGGGTACCAGGAGGGAACGACCCAGTGAAGCCCGGGGGGCGGCGCAGCCAGATCTCCTCGTGCAGGCTACCCTGCAGGAAAGCTGTGCTGAAGTCAAGAGAGTGAAGCTCGTAGTCACGGTGAGCAGCAACGTGCAGCAGCACCCGAAGAGTGGTCATCTTCGGAGTGGGGGAGAAGGTCTGGAAGAAGTCAACTCCCTCTCGCTGACTGAAGCCTCGAGCCACGTAACGCGCCTTGAAGACAGGCGGAGAACCCGGCGGCCGCTTCACCCTGAAAATCCACATGCCACTGACGATGTTCGCCCCAGGTGGGGGAACCTCGTCCACGTAGGTGCCTGTGGACTTCCAGGAAGCCATCTCTGCGTCCATGGCTGCCTGCCACTGAGAGGAGTAGGGACCCTCTATCGCCTCTGCGTAAGAGCGCGGAGTCGGGATGTCTGGTGCATCCGGGTCTCCCTCAGGGGCAAGTAGCGAGGACACAAGATGAGGTAAAGCAGCAGCAAGGCACTGGAACTCCTCCTGCCTGTCCTCAAGGACGTCCGTGCTAAGAGCACACTCACCCCCGACGGACGGAGGACAGACAGACTCAGACTCAGTAACAAGACTGGCAGTGAAGTCTAGACGACAGGCAGCAGCAAAGTCAACAAGCTCAGCGACAAGAGCAGACGCAGCAGCAGACTCAAACGACGGGTCAGTGACAACTGTGGCTAGTAGACGCGTGACAGTAGGGTGCTGAGCACGAAACCGGTCAGACGCAGGGTCCGGAACGTCAGGCAAAGAGGACGCAGGAGGAGACGGCAGAGGAACAGGCTGCGGAACAGAGGAAGGACGACGGACTACGAGGTGCGCGCTGGGGACAGCCGGCGGACGCGAACGAGGAACACGAGGACCGGTACGACCAGGACGAGCAGGCGAGACAGGACGCGACGCAGGCTCACGACGCACAGCAGGACTACCAGTCAGCTCAGCGTAAGGAGAAGGAGCAGGCAGCGGCGAGCCAGTCTGTAACGGAAGACCAGTAGACGACGGAAGAGTAAGAACCTGACGAAGAACAGAGGCAGACGGCGGCAGAGACGACGGAGACGGCGGAGCGAAGAACAGTCGTGTCGGCGCAGCTGCACCAGAACCAGCAGCTCCAGCAGCTCCAGTGCCTCCAGCAGCTCCAGTACCTCCAGCAGCTCCAGTACCTCCAGCAGCTCCAGAAGCTCCAGGCCCAGAGCCGACACCTCGAGTCCCAGGGTCTCCAACCTCTGTGTCTCTAGCAGCAGCACCCCCAGAACCAGCACCTCCAGTCCCAGGGTCTCCAACCGCAGGGTCTCCAGCAGTAGCACCCCCAGAACCAGCACCTCCAGCACCTCCAGTAGACAAAGGACCAGCACGACTCCGAGCTCCAGCAGCGCGACGCTGACGGCGACCGTACCAGTCCTGCAGCTGCTGTGGGGTGAGAGGCACACGGGGACGAAGGCGGCCACTCCAAGGAGACCGCGCAACAGCAGACTCAGAACCCTCAGCGCCCGCACCCCCAACGGCTCCAGAACCTCCGGTGTCAGTACCCTCAGCACCAGTACCTCCAGCGACTCCAGAACCTCCAGCGCGAGCACCCTCAACAGCTCCAGGACCTCCAGCTCCAGCGCCACCAGGACTAGGCCCTCCAGCAGCTCCTGAACCTCCAGCGCCAGCACCCTCAGTAGCTCCAGAACCTCCAGCGTCAGTACCGCCAAGCTCAGCACCCCCAGACCCCTCACACGCAGGCTCAGCACCACCAGGCTCTACACCCTCAAGCTCCGCACCCTCAGGCTCAGTACCCCCAGACTCAGCACCCCCAGGCTCCGCACCCCCAGGCTCAGCACCCCGAGCAGGACCACTCGCAGGAGGACCTGAGTCACCAGTGACCTCAACCGGCGCAGTCAAGGGAGGAGGGTCTACCTGAGAAACACCTGAAGGAGCAGGACCGGGAGCGGGGAGGGGGTCTACCTGGGGAGCACCTGGAGCAAGGAAGAGCGGCGGGGGGGGGAGCGAGGCAGTGCGGTAGGGGAAGAGACGGTAAAAGGGAACCGACTCGTCGAACGTGACGTCCTGAGACGCAAAGACACGGCGCGAGGTGGGGTGGTAAAACTGCCAACCAGGCGCGTCAGGGACAAAGCCAAGGAAGACACAGAGAACAGCGCGGGCGGAGAGCTTGTCCGCGGTGGTATCGCGGACAAAGGCACGAGCACCCCAGACCCGGAAACGCGACGCATCGCCAACCTTCCCCGTCCACAGCAGTGTGGGCGAGGTCTCCGGCAAGGAGACACGGGGCCAGAGGTTGAGCTGATGCGCGGCGTACCGGACCGCAAACGGCCACAGAAAATGGGGGGCAGCCGCATGGATCATGGAGGTACGAGCGACCTCCATGACTAAGCCAATGCGGCGCTCAGCAACCCCATTCTGCTGCGGAGAGGCCGGAAGCGTGAACGACTGGGTGATGCCGTGCTCCGCACAGTAGGCTGCCAAGAGG